CATTTCTGGTATGAATATTGCGCTCATAGCTTCTTCTTGCCACGGTGAAATTTGGAGCCGAACTCCCCATCCCTGGAAAAATTATGGCCCTTCCAATAGGCCCATTCAGATCAAAATCAGCCGTCAATTTAGGTACAGTTTTCAGAAATCGGAAATCACCAGAAAAGGATGATATCCTTTAGAATGTCACACTCTGATCCCAGTGGTCAACAGGACGAAGAAAGGACCGTTTAAGGACTTTCATGGGAGGGGAAGGGGGTCGTTTTTAAAAGACTTGTGCCTGACCTCTTGCTCAGCTCTGGATATGACCCTGCGTTTTGACCTGACGTTCCCCTTTGCTCAATAAGAATTTGTGTCATATGCTAGAGTCAAATGTCTTTCATAATAGGCCATTAACACAAACTTTGGCGTAGTATTTCTTCTTGACTATGCAACAAAACCACTATAAAGTGCGGTTCATAATTATACGAACACCCCAAATTTTAGAAATTTCTGGACTTTTTGACAGAAACTCAAAAAGCCGTTGGTACCACGCGAAAGAGCACAACCGAGACGGTATATGATCCATAAGAATAAAAATGGATGTCAATTTCGGGAGTGTTTTTGCGCCTAGTGCGAATTTCTAGCGGTTCATAATTATACGAACACCTCAAACAAAGGTCCATTTTTTATTCAAGATTGCAGTCATTTATGTCCAAATTTTTTGTAAAGCTACAGTAACAAAGTCTGACGTGTCCGCTAACATTGAACCCAATGCAGTTCAAAAAGAAGACCGTTACTTTTTTCAGAAGGCTCTAAATGCTGCTAGAGTGATTGCGCTCCGAAAACATCCGTTCTTCTGCGGTTTACGCGCTCTAATTAGCTTCTACCAAAGCTATGAGTTAAAATAAGCTCTTTCGATAGGTATTTTGTTTGACGCTTGGAAATTCTTTGTGTTTTCGTGCCGTTTTTCAACCAAGTTCCAACCTTACCACAAAGTTGGCACGAATTCGAGCCTCAAAACTCAGCTTCTGAAGCCGTACAATGAAGTAAGCATATAGTATGTAGAAGTTCACAAAACTGTATATTTGGCTAGAAAAATCAGCAGCGTTGAGCGTTTGTTTTAGCCACGCAGACGTCATTTCATCAAAAACACTGCTTTTACTATTGCAATCACACCTTTATTTGGTTTGTAGCTCCACAGCCTCAAGATCAGTTTCACAAAAAACCCAAAAACTTTGGCACAGAAACACCATCATGTAAACAACGCAGCTGCTTCATACCAAATGTTTGCGCGAGAGAGAAGCTGAGTTTTGAGGCTCGAATTCGTGCTAACTCTGTGGTAAGGTTGGAACTTGGTTGAAAAACGGCACGAAAACACAAAGAATTTCTAAGCGTCAAACAAGATACCCATCGAAAGAGCTTACTCTACCTCATAGCTTTGGTAGAAGCTAATTAGAGCGCGTAAACCGCAGAAGAACGGATGTTTTCGGAGCGCAATCACTCCAGAAGCATTTAGAGCCTTCTGAAAAAAGTAACGGTCCTCTTTTTGAACTGCACTGGGCTCAGTGTGTAGCGGACGTCAGACTTTGTTACTGTAGCTTCACAAAAAATTTGGACTCAAATGACTGCAATCTTGAATAAAAAATGGACCTTTGTTTGAGGTGTTCGTATAATTATGAACCGCTAAAAATTCTCACTAGGCGCAAAAACACTTCCGAAATTGACATTCATTTTCATTCTTATGGATCATATACCGTTTTCGGCTGGTTCTACCGCGTGGTACCAACGGCTTTTTGAGTTTCTCCCAAAAAGTCCAAAAACTTACAAAATTTTGGGTGTTCGTATAATTATGAACCGCACTTTAGGCTATGGAAGTCTGGACCTCTTAGTAAGTGCCGGGCATTTGGTTCTACTGCAACGTATAATAAATCGAATTGAAAAGGAAAAGCAAGAAAAAGAAGACAATTGCTATCAATCAAAAAGATCCTATTCTAAACAATATCGGGAGTAAAATGAACGAATGGAGTATGTAAACGAATTGAGTGGAGGGGCATTATTGTTAGTCGAAATAGAAGACACAGCAGATTATGAACAAAGTGTTTTCTGCACTCGTCTATGCAAGTATGTCGTTTTACAGTAACAACACTAATTTACTTTGGATGTGGCAGCTTCAATAGATATCAACTTTTCTCCTAGTTTTTGTAGCTTGCATAATGACGTAACTTTCTTCTGTCAGTTCATATAGGAAAAATTATACTTCAATAAAACGGTGCCGTTCACTATAGCTTTTTCTGGATAAATATGTTTACCAGCGAAAAACGACGGGACAATGGGGAACGCTGGGCAAACGATATTTTTCCTGGTGGCCTCATTTGTAGAGGGGCTAAAATACGTATCGGTGAACAAATCGCAAATAAAGATTGCATTTCGCTATCTATGAAGACAAACCAATAGATACGGACAGAAAATTTGGAAAGAGGGTTATGTGCTCAACAACTTGGGTGTAAGGAGGGTTTTGCTAGAAAATAAACTCGTTCGCAATATTTCTTTGTGCAAGAAAATATAGTATAGCATAGAAATCGAAAAGTGCTTACAGGGGTAAGTACAAGAATCAAAGAAACTGTAGAGATGACTTGACATTTTCAACTGATAGCCTTCAGAGATTGAATCTGCCTTACTTAACTGTCATCCAAACTTTTTTTTTATTCGACTAAATTTCGTTCTATTTATCATGGAGCTCAACCATTCAAAAGTTCGCAGCATACATTTTAGTTTTTCATAAAGAAAGCAAGGTAACTTAATAACCTAAATAATAGATTCATTTCAAAGGAACAATAGTTTTGAGTCAGAGCGCAGCGCAACGATCCGGTCACGCACAGTAAGCCGTGGGGTAAACCAAAAAAAAGGGAAACAAATAAACAAATAGAGCAAGATGCCAAGAGCTCTGGCTGGAGAAGACTTGTTAACAAAAGTTTGGAAGGAAGCGTTTTCCGAGCACTGATCTATCTTAGTGAAGAAAACACGGAATGCTTACGAGAACCGGACAACAAGCAAGCAGCTGATTCTTGGAAAGCATAGTACTAGGACTGTTGACTATGAATTGAGGCTAGATGTGGAGCCACTTGAAGTGAGGTCTCGCTTGAACAAACAAAACTCTAAATATGGGTGACGCTGCTTTTTCGCGCGCTAGAGCGATGGTATAGTGAAAGCCGGTCGTTATCTGATCTGCATGTTGAAGATTGGAGAAGAAAGTCTCTCTGGTCAACTTGGGCATGGAACATCGAATGTTAAACAAAAAATTGGGGAATGAATAAAATTGAAATTTGATTAGATCTCGTGGTGGAATTGGCTGAGCAAACTTCCGAGTTTGATATCACTTTATTCGCTAACGTTTCGGCGCTTCGCTTTCTTCAGAGCCTGCAAACCGAAATCATATGAACTTACTCGCGTAGAGCCAAAAAAAGGTCAGAGTATTATTCGAAAATAAAGCTAATGCTAAACAAATTATATTCACAAGCACAGTACTCACCTTACAAGGGAAGGAAGGTAGGTCGAAGTGGCCTTTCAGAATGAGATGGGTATCATCTTGTAGGGCCTCAAACGCTGATTTCAAATCTGCCTTCCTTATCTGCGGCGCGTTTTTGGGTGAGGAGTTATGAGGGTTTTTAGGGGGCGGAAGTCGACACAAGTACAATCAAGGACAGCACACCCCTGTGTGCCGTCTGGTGTAGTGGTTAGTGTGGTGGTCTTGCAGGGAGAGGCTCCCAGGTTCGAATTTCCTACTGTGGTTTTCCTTTTGCTGGTTTACAAAAAATTTGTATGAGCACGCGTATCGTCTATACATCAACTCTTCCTTCTTTTAACTGCAAATCTCTTCAAAAAGTTTTATCACTCTATGTTTTTAAACGTCTATGTGCACCGATGAAACGAGAGGACAAAATGTGCAAAACATACGTACGGGCGGGCAGGCGGGCGTTCAAAACCTCTCGGATGTGCATCAAGGTAGCCGCTGGCGTACCAGGAATAAGCCAAGAGAACAGGCGAGAATATCTTGTAGATTAATGAGTTTTTGATTGCGTAACTTGTACGTGCGTTTTTTCAGCTTTACCAACTATGAACGTGGGTCTTTGCATGTTGAGAACATTGTGACCTCTTACGTTCATCGGGGTGTTACGTGACAAATTGATTCTTTTGACATTTCTATCTCCACTTTAAATCACTTGCAAAGATCTTCAGAGAGAGAGCAGTTGTTGCCTTGAAATTCTGATAAAAGAAATAGGGAGTGGTGTATGGACGCTGTTCATGCTCATATAAATTTTTTGTAGGCCAGCAAAAGGGAAATCACAGTAGAGGATTCGAACCTGGGAGCCTCTGCTTGCAAGACCACCACGCTAACCACTACACCAGACCGCACACAGCGGTGTACTGTCCTTAATTGTACTTGTATCGACTTCCGCCCCCTGAAAACCCTCATAACTCCTCACCCAAAAACGCGCCGCAGATAAGGAAGGCAGATTTGAAATCAGCGTTTGAAGCCCTACAAGATGATATCCATCTCATTCTAAAAGGCCACTTCGACCCACCTTCCTTCCCTTGTTAGATAGCACAAGACGGAGTCCGAGGGATTGCCTCAGCTTTATACGTGTATGCCCCGGCCTCATATTCAAATCCGTATGGGGACGGATAAGACGCGAGTTCCCTCTTTATGGCGGTACACTCCTCCCTCCGGTCCGGTTCATTTTTGGATTTTTGGCGCTAACCCAAAACGGTTCCAAAGTTTTGTGCGTGACGGTCTCGGGTCTAACGGCAAGATCTGATATCTACCATGTCAAGAGTATCCACCACGCCAAGGTTAAGAGACACCGAACCTGGACGATTTCGAACAGATCGTTTATTGACGACTATGTCAAGTATGTACAAATCAGCGGTCAAATAATCAAAGATTTCTGTCAAAATGAATTTATTGTTGTATAAAAACAAACTATTGCCAAAGTTACAGATGTTAAATAAACTCGAAATCATGCGTCAAAAAAAGCAGCACAAACTTGCTGCTGGTACTGGTCGCAAATGCTGCCAGAAAACGGCTCAGTCGCCATGTTGCCAGTGTTATTTAAACCTATAAAACGGATACGTCAATTAGTAAATTATTTATTTCGGAGTACGGGAAAAAACTTACTACGACCCATTTTCCTTGCAGTGTTCAAATACGAACGAGTGCGATATGTTGTTTTCGGCTTTCGGTTGTCACTTTCGCGTTCTGCTTCCCCATGCGCAATGGGGTTTTCTCTGACGGTAATCCTTAATATGAACACTTGTCGTGCACAGACCGAACAGCAACATACTGAAATTGTCTCTGCTTACGAAGTTTCCTATGAGATCCATGATGGAAATGCTGCAGAGACATAGTCATGAGCACTTGCATACTTGGTTTACAACAGCAAAAGCTTCCTCGGCTTACTCAATTTCAAAATGAGCAATTCGATTGGCTGAATGCTGAGTTTAGGGTAAAAGAGTTTGTTAATTTTTTTGTTGTATACTCCAAGAATCCTTTGCTACTTAAGAAAGAAAGAGAAGACGCTTCAAAGCTCACAATGCTTGCCTAATTATTCAATTTTAGGTTACCTCTTGTCTCAAACCGCACTGGTTTTTGTTTTGTCCTGCTATGAATGTTTTCACCGATGTTTTTGAGTTACTTTTACTTTTCTTTTCACGGATGCTGCTGTAGGTGACGATGTGAGATGGACAGAGGGATCCAAACTCAAAAGAAAGAACAAGTTTGAAGAGAAGAGGTTGAGAGTACTACTGCTATCACAAGCAGTTTGCGATGTAGTGCACAATATTCAGCAGAAACTCAGGCATCAAACGTGATCATAACCCTGCTTTGCACAAAGCAACTGGAGTGGCAGCAATTTGGTTGGAAACTTCACGTGATGTGATGATTCAATCATATTTATGTGTGATAATAGATTATATCATATTCTTACCACTCTTCTCTCAGTTCAGTAAATCATACAAGTTTTGAAAACAAGCGAGTAAATAATAGACACCTTGATTGCTTCGTGACTATTTAATCAGGCGAACACTGGAGTTCGCGCTCGTCAAACCGCGCCGTCGCTAAATGCCGCACGCGCGACGTCGCTCAAACGATGCTATTTGTAGCAACATACATGACTAGTTCTCAATGTATGCGTAACGATATGACACCAAATTCTGTAAGCGAACGGAGAGAGTCTAGTGGAAACAAAGTATGAAAAATTATGAAAAACTTATGTGAACGGAACGAGTAATAAGCATTTTTTCCGAAAATTTTGCAAAATTGGTAAATGAAGATGTGAATTCAAATGGCTCGTTTGCAACGCGCAGATGACGGCATGGTATGAAACTTGGTACGTACGTGGACACAAGCCTGTAGGATTTGAATTAGGAGCTTCATTGAAAGATTCATCGACTGAAGGTTGTGGTAAACTTTTTTCTGAAAATTTCCAGCTACCAAAGAAACGAAAAAATGGCTCGTTCGCAACGCAGAGGGGACGAAATCGCGCGAGATTTGGTGTGTATATGCGCAGTAGGACAAAGTAACAAAGTTTGAAAAATTATGAAAATGTGAATGAAAAGCGTGCCTAACTTATTTTAAATTAGCTTGTCATTTGACAAGCTGAACTTGTCAAAACTTTCAGTTCACATAATTTTCTCAAAATTTTTACATAAATCTACTCTACACCTAAACATTAGTATATATTGAAATTTTGGTTTCAAAACTTTTCCTCTCCCCATTGCTAGAGGCAAAAATAGCTTCAGCAGTGCCGTTTCCTAAGGAGGAAAGCGCGCTCCAATCGAACGGCGTATCGCTGAGTCCTTTAATCGGACTTTATATTTCGCAACACCGACTTGGCCGCGCAACCGTTTTCCTATTTTTTCTTGTTTCTTCTTTTCTTGGAGTTCTCTCCCCAATCCACTTTTATGTGCGTCATTCACTGTGAAGCTTTTTCACCTTTTTTGTGCATATGCTCTGATTTGATCTTTCTTAAGGAGCCTTATGGTACACTCTTTTTTAGGCAGCCTTATGGCACCCTTTTTACTTGATTCTAGTAATATCTCTTATTTTTGTAAAGTTTGCAAGTATGTCTTTAGGATGATCCAGCTTGGGCTGAAAATGTCATAAAGACATTAGCAAAAAGGCTTAAAAAGTCGAACTCGAAGAATTAGCTAAACAATTGTCAGTGAGGTTAAATTTACGGATTGTGTTGCAATTCCAGCGTGAGCTGATTTTTCTGCTTAGCTAATCTCTGTTGCTAGATATGGCTCTATATAAAGCTTTTTCCAGGGAGCACAACAAAAAGAAAGCCCATAAAAGAGCACGACCTCATATCCTGTACATAAAGATGTGGCGATTTCCATGGCTAAAGTAAGTTTTGATGTTTCATAATCTCCCAGTTTTCAATAATTTTGACTTTAGAAGCCATCATTTTCCGACTTGTTGTGTTTTTCTGCTCTTTACAGCTCAAGAGATGTGGCGCTTTCTTCATTACATATCACTATATTTTAGGACTCACCATGAGCTGAAAGCTGTGGACAATTTCGCTATCCATTTGCAAAGAAAGCAGAGATTATCTGCATTAATAGTATTTGTGTATTATTTGCCAGTCGTACGAATGGATCGAGGTCGAGCCGAATCAGCTGTACAAAAGCATGGATGTCCATCAAGGAGTTCTAAGGCTCCATAGACCATCATTGCTCAGCATTCTCGGCGGAGTGGACGCGGCAGCAATTCCGGTCAACAGCAATCTGGCAAGCAGAGCCGAAGTCCATGAACTGAGGAAGGAGCTAGCCGCAGTGGGGGAAGAAGTAGCAAGGGAAAGGCGACACCGCCTGAGAAGCCCAGAATCACCGAAAAGAATTGAGCGTGCCCCAGACGGACCAAGAGCCAGAACCACACCGAAGAGCCATACAACCCAAGGCGACGACGCTCACCAAAGCCCGAAGACAAGAAAGTGACAGAGCCGGCTGGGAGACTAAAGGTGCGGAGAATACCGCTGAAAAGCAAGCCGACACGGAAGAGATGACCGCCAACTAGAAAGCAACATCCTGAATTCCTGTACCATCAACATGTACATACTGCAATGATACTCAAATAGACTGCATAGAGATATTGTTTTTGCTTTGGCTTTGTTATTGTTACTCCTGTTGTTACTACCATTTTGTTCTAGTGAGTAGACATGTGGTGTGAAGTAAAGTAAAATTGGGAGGTCGGATTGCTTAGGCAATCCTGACCCCCAATTAATTTTTGGACCCCTCCTGCAAAGGAGGTAAAAAGACCCTAAAGGGATGAATTAACCAGGACGAACTTGGTAATGGTGCTGTTAGTTGCATTGGCTGGCTCCGTAGCTGACTGGCAAAACCCCCCGCCGGGAGCGATCAGTCCCGTGTCTCGGAGGTCGTGCTCCGCAAACGGAGCCCAACCATCGGCCTCGACTGAGGGATTCGCGGATCCTTTATGAGAGGCTCGGCAGACCACAGCAAGTCTGATGCTCGGGGCGAGTGAGAACTTGGAGGCTGCGCTGCCAGTTGCGTCGATTGTGGCCATCGTTTGCCGTGCCCGGCGGACTTTCGGTTGCCTTCGCAGCTGGCTGGCAAAGCTTCCCTGGTTCCCGGAACGACCAATGCTGTGCCTCAGCGGCCATGCTTCGCGAATTAGGATCCCCACCATTAGTCTTGACTGATGGATCTGAGGATCCTTGGTGAGAGGCCTGGCAGACCATGACAAGCCTGAGGTTCCGGGGGAACTGGAAGCAGAAGACCGCGCTGTTAGCTGTGTCGATTGTGGTCATCGTCCGCCGTGCTCGGTGAACTTTCGGTTGCCTTCGCGGCTGGCTGGTAAGGTCTCCCTGGTCCCTGGAACAACCGGTGCTGTGCTGCAGCGGCCATGCCTCGCGAATCGGGATCTCAGCCGTTAGTCTTGACCAATGGATTTGTGGGTTCTTTGTGAGAGACCTGGCAGACCATGACAAGTCTGATGTTCTGGAGGAATCAGAACCTGGGGTCTGTGACACCGATCAGGATATGGCGGTCACTGCTCGGCATACCCGGCAGAAATTCGGGTGCCCTTGCAAATAACTGCTAGAATCCCTCGAGTCCTGAGAGTGGTCAGTGCCGTAACGCAACGGCCATATTTGGCGAAATCAGACCCTGCTCATTGGTCTTGACTGGAGCCTCACTAGATTTGAAAACGGCTACCGCGGCAGTTCAGTAATCATGTTCTGGGAGAGGAAGACCCCCATTCGCTGGTTCTGGCTCATGGTTTGGGGTTGTTCCGGAAATTCTTTATGAAGATAACTGACTTCTTGGCTTGGGATCTTGACCAGCAAATTTGTATTCCCCTATATGCCAAGAATACAGATAAAACTCGCTAAATGATTAGGCATCGCAACTCTGTAATAGTCTAGGGAAAGTTCAGTACCCGCAACTTCTAACTGAACCAATCTTAGCTATAAACAAAAAGCTTACCTTGTCTACAATAACTCACTCGTCCTGTACGGTTGTGGCTTATAATGCTATCTATGCAATGAATCGTGCCCGTTTCGAAAACTAAGCACTGCGAATATTGAGCTCAAAATGATCCTTTACAGATAGAATGAACCCCGAACTAGACGTCAGAAATTGCTGCCTGGTGGACATCCGAGACTTCCTCGAATGTGCTCACTTTATGGGGCACAAAGTGCTCGTGGATCGTGTAAGAATGCTGGACATTTTGACCAGCAAGGAAAGTGAACTCAGCAACATTGAACTCAGAATTGAGCGCCTTGAGAAGGTGAGGAATTGAGGCTTAGAATAAACGTGCATAATAACGAAATATGAATCATTTGAAACACAAATAGTAGAAAAAGTTCCACTATGAGCCAATTCATGCCAAAGCTCGTTATTATTAGCAGGTTATTATTTTTCTATGTTCCATTGAAAAAAACAGGCTTTTTGTGAATTTTTGAAACTTCTGAAATGTCGTCCAAATGTTGTGCTTTTTGATCAGTTTTTGCCACGTGTTGATGGCGATGTGACAAAATTTGCGTGTTCGAGCATCTCCGTTTTCAAAATGCACAAAAAATAATGCTACAGTTTGCTTTTTTTCAGCTCTTCCCCCAGTTGTGATCAACAAAGTTGCTGGGTACTATCAAGTCACTCCTGGCACCATCGCTGCTCTGACAAATCATGGTCTTGCTGCTCAATGTTTGGAGGATGTAGGTCTCATTAAAAACTTCCCTTTCCTCTTCTTCATTTTTGCTTTTCCCTTTTTCTTCAATTTGTTCATCTCCAGCGAGCACTGATTGCAACCATCAGCGTGGATGAAATGCGTGGACACTACCTTTCCGAAGAGAGCTCCTCCTACCAGCACTTACGTGGGCTCTCTTACCTCTACATCTTCTGCGCTTGGATTTCCCGGCATGCCATCGAGAAAAACACAAAACAAAGGGTTTTTGATGTCCCAAACTTGCATCATGCTTGGTAGGCTTTGGTTACCTTATATTTACTTGATATTCTATAGTGTTTGATGTTCTTATATAATACATTCATGAGTTGACTTTTTTTATCGTAGACATTTTTGAAGAGACTTATGGCAGTTGCTTTTTGGAATTATCAGAATTATGGTGGTGTTCTAGGTATACTGCGAGTATTTGTCTAGCTGTTTTCTTCCAGTCTCCACACCGCAATCAACGCCTTGGCTGGCATCCTACCACCGTTTGCAAGGTTAGTTCGCGATAATCTTATGTACTTCACTCGCTGTTCATTTGCATGCTGCTTGCTGTTTTTTTTCGTTTTTATTCTAAGAAAGTCAGTTTGTTGAATGATGCCCTTTTTTCAATCTTTTCATGTCCTTTTTCAAATCGTTTGCATAGTGCTATTCACAAAATCAATTATAGATTCCTCCTAATTGCAACTTGAAAATATTCAACAATGCCGAATTGGTCGCACAACTCGCTGAATCTGCTGAGAAAGGCTATGAAGCTGGGTCTCTTACTAGACTCTGTACAATCCGCATCTCCTTTCTAAAAGGCTGGGGAGCTGGTTATAGGAGGCAGACGGTGGGTGATCAGTAACAGCCATCTACTTTTTATATAATGTTCATTCTCCATTATTATTCAGTTTGATGCGACTCCGTGCTGGATCAAAGCTCGAGTGTGAGTGTAAATGAATGTTTTTCTTCAAATAAATGTTTTTCTGATATAGTGTGTACTGCGCAAGCATAGCCATCCCGTTTCTACGTCAAAGGGGAAATCGTAAAAAAATTTTGGGTCAAAGGGAAATTCGTTTTCGAAAACCCCTTTTTGACAACCTCGTGCCGGGCCCTGGCCGGGCATACATTCGATTTCATCGCCTCGCGATTCTCCCAGCAGGACAACCGTTACGTGTTCGTTGCATGCTGATCATCTTGCATTTCGGTTGTGATAGTTAGTCACAATCAGTCGTGTCGGAAAACTGTCACAACCGAAATGCAAGATGAGGGTTAATCGCGAGGCGATGAAATCGCATGATGTATGCCCGCTCCTTAATAAAAATACTCCATTTCTTGAGACGCAGATGTGAAACCATCACATCATTTCTTGAAATAGTAGAGATGGAAAAATACCCATGACCACTTTTAACTTGAAACCATGATGTGATGGTCTCAAACGTGATGGAGAGTGAGGGAGATCGTTGTGGACTTTCTATTAAGAATCTCATTCGGCAACGGCTTAGGTACGGTTACGGAAAAATGCAAAACTGGAGATAAACTCTATTGAATATCATCGCTTGCTAAATCAAGTGTAAACTTACCCATTCCATCGTCAGTGACTGTTATCTAATGGTTTCATAGGAAAGTTGATATGAAGTTGCTGGTCTCATGCGATGATAGTTAGATGGTTTCGGGCAAAGTATCACCACTCCGATATTTTTTTAATCAATGATTACATTGTACCTAACACACTGGATAGTATGATGGCAGACGTAGATATGTCCTGAAATATTCTATAGCGATAAGCAAGCGATCGACTTTTCGTCCCCGCTGGAAAAACGGTCTGCGCTCATAGCATGTTCATAAAAAATGTGTGCGGTCGCTCCTTTTATGAGTATTTCATTGATTGTGCACCTTATGCACAATTATGGAGTTATTGCAAGGCAAGCTGATGAGACTGTGAATGTGCTAATTACAACTGATGAAATACAATTTGAGCAGATGTGGCCCTATAAAGACCCTAGAGATCACATTCTTCATTGTCTCAGTTTGATACTCAGTTCTACTAAGTATATTTTACGAGTGCAACAAGCTTATTTCAGAATGAAATTAGTGATAATATTTTGTATGAGCGTACTAGCAACTGAAGCATGCAAATGCCACAAAAAGGCATGGTCATTAAAGAGAGCTCTTTGCAATTCTAGTAGAGGTAGGTTCTGTTTTTGGTAGCATTCACAAATGTTTAGTTTTTGATCGGTTTTCGTGATTCATTCTGTTCGAGAACGAAGATTTTTTTTATTTATCTCACAACAACACATATTCTTTCAGTTTATAAAATGGAGCTCGTAACATACAGTTCGGTTACGACTTTCAATCCGAGAATCGTCACTTTCTATGTGAAAACCCATTCAATGCACAAGGTAAAACTGTATTTTTAAAGTAGCTGCACACTTAAGTAATTGTAAATTTTTGTTTAGCCTTTCCATCCTGAAAACAAAAAATTCCCAAGGACAATTACAGTAAAAAGAGATTCATTGTGCGCAGTTCCCGTATTTAGGAAGCCTTTTTACATGGGTGGTAAGAAATTTGTCTCGTTTCTAGTATTCTAAAGTGCGGTTCATAATTATACGAACACCTTATATTTTGAAAGTTTTTGGACTTTTTGAAAGAAACTCAAAAAGCCGTTGGTACCACGCGATAGAGCACAGCCGAAAACGGTATACGATCCATAAGAATGGAAATCGATGTCAATCTTAGGAGTGTTTTTTGCGCCTAATGCGAATTTTGAGCGGTTCATAATTATACGAACACTTCAAAAAAAGGCCCATGCCAGTGCAATCTTTCGAGTCCAAATTTTTGTAGAATTACAGTAACAAAGTCTGAAACATCCGCTACACACTGAACCCAGTACGGTTCAAAAAGAGGATCTTCACTTTTTTCAGATGGCTCTAAATGCTTTTAGAGTGATTGCGCTCTAAAAACATCCGTTTTTCTGTAGTTCACGCACTCTCATTAGCTTCCACCAAGGCTATGAGATAAAATAAGCTTCTTCGATAGGTTATTTTGTGTGACGCTTGGAAAATCTATGCGTTTTCGTGCCGCTTTTCAACCAAGTTCCAACCTCACCCTAAAGTTAGCACGATTTCGGGCCTCAAAACTCAGCTTCTGAAGCCCTACAATGAAGTAAGCTTATAGTATGTAAAAGTTCACAGGACAGTGTAATTGGCTAGAAAAAATCAGCAGCATTGAGCGTTTGTTTCGGCCACGCAGACGTCATTTCACCAAAACCATTGTTTTTACTATTGCAGTCACACCTTTATTTGGTTTGTAGCTCCACAGCCTCAAGATCAGTTCTACAAAAAACCCAAAAACTTTGACATGGATACACCATCATGTAAACAATGCATCTGCTTCATATCAAGTGTTTGCGCGGGAGAAAAGCTGAGTTTTGAGGCTCGAAATCTTGCTAACTTTAGGGTGAGGTTGGAACTTGGTTGAAAAGCTGCACGAAAACGCATAGATTTTCCAAGCGTCACACAAAATAACCTATCTAAGAAGCTTATTTTATCTCATAGCCTTGGTGGAATTTGATTAGAGTGCGTGAACCACAGAAAAACGGATGTTTTTGGAGCGCAATCACTCTGAAAGCATTTAAAGCAATCCGAAAAAAGTTAAGATCCTCTTTTTAAACTGCACTGAGTCTAGTGTGTAGCAGATATGTCGCACTTTGTTACTGTAACTCCACAAAAAATTTGGACTTGAAAGATTGCAATCTTGAATGAAAAATGGACCTTTGTTTAAGGTGTTCGTATAATTATGAACCGCTCAAAATTCGCATTAGGCGCAAAAAACACTCCTAAGATTGACATCGATTTCCATTCTTATGGGTCATATACCGTTTTCGGCTGTGCTCTATCGCGTGGTACCAACGGCTTTTTGAGTTTCTTCCAAAAAGTCCAAAAACTTTCAAAATATAAGGTGTTCGTATAATTATGAACCGCAATTTATAAGAATATTTCATCAACAGGTAATTTTGATGACCAAGGTGAACTCTACGTCAATTGCTTTCGTAGCTGGATGACTGCAACGGCTGAAGCTTTGGGACCACTATGGCGGCGCAAATGTGATCGTTCCTCCACAAAAAGACACAAAAAACGAAATGGAACAAAAGTCGCCAAATATCCCTAGCGTAAATATCCCAATATCCCTATCCCTACCCATACGTACATTATTCTTAGAGTGTAATTTCTGCACTAAGTTAATTCAAAAAATTTTAGAAGGATAACTATCTGATGTAGTTTTAGGAAGATGATGAGTAAGCTACTGCAAGCTTGTGCTCCGAAAAAGGTTCGCTATTTTCAACAAAGATATTTCCTTCATACCCAATCTTAATTTTTTTTTATCTAGCATTTGTCGTTACTCGCTGCATTTGATCCAACCGCCTCTAGGCAATTAACGTCCAATCGATCCTTTTGTTGAACTTTTGTTAATTTTAAAAGCTGCCCTCAACCTGATATTGTTTCTTGATATGAACGCGAACTGACTCTAATTTGAAGGAAGCTTTGTCTTTTGCTAGGTATTTTATTATTGCACATATCTATGTCACATATCTTTCACTGAGTTTGAACTGAATCATTCAGAAGATAGTGAATTGCACCAGCATAGCAGGTAAATGAATAGATACTAAAAATCAAATGAAGAAATATGGTAATAATACAATATTGCAGAATGTGCTAAATTTCCGTGAATGTCGGGAAATTCCGGGAATTCCGCGAAAGTTTGCGACATTCCCGGCATCCGCGACATTTCGGGAATATCGCGGAATTCCGGGAATGTGGCGAACTTTCGCGGAATTCCCCGACATTCACGGAAATTTTGCACATCTTGTGTGCGGTATTGCACCTACCGATTAGAGTTCAAGAGTGCGGAGTTCCGATCAAATTGTAAGTTCCTGGACATCTCAACTCCTTGCTTGTTTGTTATCCATTTGCACGAATGATATTTTTTACGTGTCCATGCCCCAACTTAACCAGTTTCCTCCAAAAGTGAAAACTTCCATGCAAATGCTGATTTTAGTGGCGAACAAGCGGGACTTACATGAACAAATGCAGCGTTAAAGCTTGAAACAATTGCATTGTCACAATTTGTGTTCAAATACGATTTATTGCCGAAATGGCTGTTCGCAGATTTAGCGTTGCACTCTAATTAAGAGGGCGTGCTCGACACAGTACACGTACACTGATGCAAGATAATAAAGGTTGAAAAGTGAAAGAAGCCCAAGACCAGAACATCGTGATTAAATGCGAAGCAGATCTAGAATCATAACACCATTGTCAAAGCGGTAATCAGTCCTTTCGCTTTGGAACATGAGCTTTGGCATGACTTGCAAATGTGCTGGAATTGGGAATATTCCTAACCTTTCCATCTTCTAGTGGAACAAAAAAAAAAGAGAAATTACCGAATTACGACGGGTAGCACCAGAAGGCCATGGAATAAACCCGTAGCAACGACAAGCACAGATGTTCGAGCGAACATTCGAACTGCGTTCGATGGTACGAGAATCATCACAACAATAGCTAAATAGATTAGGTAAGGGAAAGGATGGGATATGGTAAGGTAAGGTAAACATACCAAGAAGCGTAGAGCTGCCAGCCTGAAGCACCGGCCATGCTATGGCTCCCATAGCATCGCGCATGCGCTCATCCGGGTCCTTACATTCAGAACGATAGATACGGTAGCCCACATGTGTGGCGAAGTCGATACATTGGCCGATAGACATCTGATAGGAGTTAGTTCATTTATACAGTTTTGTTGTCAAATTCATTCTATATAAACAAAAGAGCAGTGATCTGACCCCAAAATTTCGCAAAAAGAGAAACAAAAAATACATGCCAAAAACTTGCTAATTTTTTTCTGGAAATATCAAATGAAGTTAATCATTGATTTTTGCGTCCAAGATATAAAAGCATTCAAGCAACCTACCAAAATGTTGACGACAGTGGTTGGATCCAGATCAGCACCCCAAAGCGATAAAAACCCGGCTGTGCCGATGTCCATAGAGATCAGACTGAATGTCACCCAAAATACGATAGAGGATTCGGCAACAAAAAGGATGCATACTAAAAGAGACCGCACTTAGATAAATGAGTTTGAAAAGTTGAAAATTAAAATACGAAATATAAATTAAATTGAAAATGACCTGCAATTAGAGTCAAAATCGCGGTTCCAAGCGATTGCAAAGTAGTTGTTTGCAGTTCCAACATCTAAAAATGCTGAGTTTGCGCACTTGGCTGGTAATTTGTGCTTTGTCCCCCTTCCCCAGCTCTCAAGACAAGTCAAAAATCAATCTACATATCTACTTCGATTCATGTATGTTAGCTAATACCAAAAAGAATTTCTGCAGAACTTTATCTTTTTGGCAAGACTGATTTTGATTTCATAACTGTAATTTGAAATCTCACTTGTTCTAACAGCGTTGAAAGGCTTCGAAAAACGAGAACTTACTTGATCTGAGTAAAAATTATTCTCATCAAAAACGAGCGCTTCAAATTCCGGATAATGACTAGTGATATTTCTCCACATAAGAAGTAGTTCAGTGCGTACGTTCCAGCTCGCTATTTTGAAGGCAGTGGTGAACACAAATTTGTCCACATGCTCGGTCTGTAAAGGTTAATTTGAATCGGATCAGAGGAGCACTCTACCTTTTGTTAGTAATACTTACCTTTTGTCCTTGATCAGTCCAGTGTATGTCAGTTTCCCAATGATTGTTGAAAGAGACTTGAAGAAAAGCTTTCAGAGTGGCATAGAAGCTGAAAAACTAACAGCATACTGTTTTAATTGAGAAGAGAGCGTTATTTCATCGCGGAGGAAGATTACTTTATCAGGAATCAAAAGCCGATGCGTTTAACCAGTAAAAGAAATAATACTCGTTGTGTTCGTGAAGGTTTTGCCTTTTCCGCTTTAAAAGTTGAGAAGAAATGGAAAAAATATTCTAAAAATTTGCTAACTTGCGCGGGGGGGGGGGGTAAGTTCAATCAAATTTTAATATGGCTGTGCGTGTTTTGCATCAAAACCCAGAAGTTCGTCATTTTTAGGATGAATTCGCAGAGGTGAAGGTTTTTGGTTTAAAATTTATTTCCGTAAACAGTTCCTAGTTTTTGTTCCAAATTACCCCCAGAATTTTAATTTGGAACAAAAACTAGGAACTGTTTACGGAAATAAATTTTAAACCAATTGATTATGTGATTCTAAACTGATTTATCCAAAGTTTCTTGAAAATTTCTTGCCATTAGGTAGCTATCTATGCAAGTAAGTCTATACAAAAATATTGCGGATGTCGAATTCGCACCGTTCGTTATCCTCCGTAAAATACTGTCTGTAATTGTTGAAGTCTCGGAGCCAGAAAGATGTTGAATTGGGTCCCATTGAGTACGGGGTACTTTCCAGATCATGCACGAGATTTAGCATACGTTCAATCTGAACAAACAAATATTAAATGGATGCTTGAAGGCCTATTGAAATTGCTTTTTACTTGAATTGGATCCTTGAAGTTAGGTGCCTTGTTGACGTAGACCCTGCCAATCAAGCCTTCAGCCCAGATACGATTTTCTGCCAAGTGAAGGTAGTGGATTAGTGGAGAATCATCCACTACCAGTCTCGAAGGTGTCAAGTTCGGCTCCAGTTGTGCGCAACCATAGAAAGCAGTGAGGATGTAGAATATATACACTATAACCTGGGTAAAGGCTTTTTGAGGTAAGACTGAAGGCTCAAGTTGAAATTTGTAATCTTACAATGAAAATCCTTGCAGCTGGATGGCATATGATGGGAGCAAAGATATTGCTAAAGAAATGTTTTGTTGGCGAAATTGCATCTGGAGCTTTTGCCTAAAAAATCAGTGGATGGATGGCAGTTCTGGGCAGAAAATGAGATTTACCTTCTCTATTTCACCCTTATCACATCGCTTCCATACCATTATACAGTGATACCCAGCTGCCTCTCGTCTAGCTCCTAATACCATAACCGCAGCAAAGAAGGTCAGCTGTAATTAGCGGATGTTGGCTAAGGGTAGGGTAACTAGGGTAACTACGGTCATACCTGATAGAACCAATCGAAAGCTACGGCAACCATAATAAACTTGCAAAAAATAGAGATTGCTGGTGTCGATGAAAATGAGCCGATCCCAAAAGAAAGGATCGAAGTGATGGAGGTGACAGATATTGCGCTAAAACCAAATTTGTCGTAAAAGATAAAGATTTAGAGTTGGGCGATCACCTCCCGGCTTCTTCCAGCGCAAGAGCCATTCGTTTATCTGGAGACAGCGTTCTTCTGGTGTCTTGCCACGCTCCCAACATTACGTAGACATCGTCGACACCGATAGCTAGGGCGATGAAGGGCATGACTGTCACCTATAAATGTAGTTTTCATTGATAGCTATGTAAAGATTAATCAGGAGGTCTTGCGTGATTTTGCATATTTTCTATTTTTCAGCACTTTTTGTTCTCTAGCTTTTCTGGTCCTTCTCATGGTTCTATATGTGAATGTTTCGAATAGTGCAATATTCTATATTACTGTTATTCCGAGGCTAAGGTTTGCTAAAAATTTGTTTGCTAGACTTTGCTTTAACTCCTCAACATTCGAAAAATTCTTTTGAAAGTTTTCACTGGTTAATTCACAATTTGCCTTGTGGTATACTGTTCATGGCGAAACACAGCAAATTTTCTCGAGCGGCATCTGACGCAAAGGTTTAACAAATTCGTCTACAATCACGTGAAAACCATACCCTCAGCTAAAATTTTCAACTTTATCTTTTCGAAATGTTTGTAAAAATTCGAATATTAGATTCGCAGTTTCTTAGCCTAAGTATTACAATTGTAATCTCCTCATATGATGAGATGTTTTGTGTAATTGCACCACTTTCTCAGTTTGCACTCAGTAAGGTGTCGTCCAGCACTTTTATAAAATTCATCCAAGTTTTGTAGTACCATCTAGTTGATATCGTTTACAATGTTTTACTCTCTGACACCAAGTTGGTGCAGTGCGAAATTCAGAAGTGGTGCAAAGCAGCGGAGGGCAGCCAACATGAACGATAGCTTGTGCCAGCCATATACGTTGAAGTCTGGTCAAGTTTTTTTCAAGTTCTATATTTGCGCTAAGATGATATTTAGGATTTTGGAAAAAACTCTAGCAGACCGGTATGCCCCAAATCTTACTATTCAACACCATTTTCAACCCAGTGAAGAACATATCACTTCAAAAAGTGAGACTTCATGCGCGGCATATTGACAACCGCAGAAGTACGGTATGCTTATCTCCAGCTGTCGTTCATCTTGGCATACACCCCAAAGCAGCTGGTCAAATCAGGGACTGGATAATAGTCATCGATTACTTAGGCCCGTATGCACGTACGTCCCCGCTGTGGAGGGGAGGAAGCTGGATCCCCAGGGGAACGATCCCCTTCGCCGAACCCCGCCATGACAGAGGGGAGGGGACCTAAGCGGGGATGGTGTGAATGGTTTCAAAGAGGTATTGATCGAGCGAACCCCAGTGCATACGGGGTTCGAATGGGGGAGGGGATCCCTTCCCCTCCCCCACGCGAAACTCGTATGCGCGAATTTAACTCAATAACGAGGGGGAGGGGATCGCCATCCCCTACAACGGAGTAGGGGTTCAATGGTGTAGGTCAAGCCAGAGAAGCGAGTATTCTGATTTCAATCAATTATTACAAAGCATTTCGTTCAAATTGATGAAAGATTTTCTACGGGAGCCGGGTTCCTCTCTCAGCGACCTGCAGCTTGCAGTTTTAACTCTCTCTTCCATATTCGCTTCTTGTAAAGAAATCCGGACATATATCTGCCAGTTTCGAATATCTGTAGAAGGTTGTGACCATTCACGAGAGTTGCGCATTTTTTATTTGACATGATAGTTCTATCCATTAAGGCTGGTACAACATATTGTAACTATCACATTATATGATAAATTGTTCTTATCTTGTTATCCTAACGTAAAACTGCTTTGAATAAAACGAAAATTAGCAGACTCGCATGTTTCTGAGTAAAGATCCTCGGGGGAATGATCCCCTCCCCATCGCTCCCCTCGTGCATAGCAGGGATGGCCGCTGGGGATCATTCCCCTGGGGAAAAGGACGATATGCAGCTGATAGCTACAGCGTTTATGGAAAGCTGGCACAATTTGCAGCTTCAATTATGTGTAGAAAATGCTGGTTTGAATGTCCGCGGCACCCTCCCCCCCTTTTTCTTCGGCAGCATAACGTCTTCTACCCATTCACTGCATATACACACACCTTGACTTCTATCATTGAACAGCTTCAAGCTGAAATGGGCAATGGGCGAAAATGAGCAACATCCATGAAAGCAGCTGGAATATAGTGGATGTAGGAAATATTTCTTTAGTGTGCCGATCGCAATCACGGCAGACGGCATTCCGCAACGACTAAATATCGCTGAGACACATTGAAGGCAGTAGCTATCAAAAGATAAGAAAAAAGGAATAATTACTGCAAAAAAGCGGAAGCAAAATGAATTCCCCGCTCGATCTCGCCTTCTGCACAAGGGGGCTCCCCTCCCTTACTCCCAGGGGATCCCCTCTCCGGTATTGCCTTTCTGCATACGGGGATTCGCGTGGGGAAGGGAGGGGAGCCCCAGCGGGGATCATTGCGATGGTTAACCTCACATCCCCTCCCCGCGGGGATGTACGTGCATACGGGCCTTAGAAAAAGGTTACTGCAGTAATATGATTGAGTTTTTAAATCAAAGTTCACAATAGTATGGAAATTAAGTTGACTCTCATGACGCGAAGATTGGGAAGGAGTACTAGGTAGAATGGGATTCAGTAATGGTAGAAATATATTCCCTTAGTGTATCCTCGTGAAGTTGCTTTCACATCAGTAGTTCGATTTCTTTCTTTTCGCCAAGCTATTAGGTTGTCAAGAAAATAATGTCGGTTTTTATTTGCTTGCTTTAACAAAGCAACCAGACTTAACCCAACAAAGGGTAAGGAGTACTGTTCGATAGAGAAAAGCAAGCTCTACAAGATGGCACTCATTTCTTTGCGCCATGCTCGATCCACGGAGAGTTCGAACTCAAAATTAAAGATTTTCAAATGCCCAAAAAATCGAAAAAAATCAGATCTTCGTCCAAATAATTTCTACGGACCTCTCACTCGCTCACATCAATACTATCGATATCTGATATCCATATGTGCGATCGCCGTATTTTTTCCTTGACTAGAAACTGAGAAAACGAAAATTTCCCTGATTTTCTCAAAGCAATGCTGAGCCGTTTTTGCATATGTAGTTCTATACTACAAGCCTAGATAAGTATAACTGTAGATTTTCGGCCCATTCCAAGCGGTAGTTTTCGAAAAATAACGAATTCGGATTTTTTCGTTTCAGTTTCAGTGCTAAAATCGACATTTCTCGAAAAGTACCGCTCGAAATAGGCTGAAAACCTACAGTTATGCTTAATATCTGCTCCAAGACGAAGGCGGTCGCCCAAATAGGTTAAAAGCATGCAAGGCCGCGGCGCGCGGGCAATTGTCAACCACAGGGCGCGCGCACGCTCGGTCAGCGGCCATCCACGCGAGCGTGCGCGCGACCCGTGGTTGACAATTGCCCGCGTACCACGTGCGCGCCAGCTCTGCATGCTCTCAACCTATCTGGGCGACCGCCTTCGTCATGGAGGAGATATTACCTAGGCTTGTAGTATAGAACTACATATGCAAAAACGGCTCAGCATTGCTTTGAGAAAATCAAGGAAATTTTCGTTTTCTCAGTTTCTAGTCAAGGAAAAAATACGGCAATCGCACATATGGATATCAGATATCGATAGTATTGATGTGAGCGAGTGGGAGATCCGTAGATTATTTGGACGAAGATCTGATTTTTTTTCGATTTTTTGGGCATTTGGAAATCTTTAGATTTTAAGTTCGAACTCTCCGTGAATCGAGCATGGCGCAAAGACAGGAGTGCCATCTTGTAGAGCTTGCTTTGCTCTATCGAACAGTACCCCTTATCCTTTGTTGGGTTGAGTCTGGTTGCTTTGTTAAAGCAAGCAAATAAAAACCGACATTATTTTCTTGACAACCTAATATATTAGAGTAAGCTTTTCAAAAATTGTAATAAACCTTGCATGAGCCCTTCTTTGTAGTTAGTTAGGATCATCAGTAAAGATACGTATCACCTATTTCAGCTTGAAAAATCTAAGCGAAAAAGTTCAGAAACTTGTTTTGTTTAATTGCAGCCCTTTGTACATTTCTGCGTGGCCTACATAACGCTGAAATTGTTGGGACAGTCAACATCCGCAAACGGCTTTTTCTAACACTAGAAGCGTCACCTGGTATATAAAAGGTTCTCCAAGGGCAAAGAGCAGACCACCGGCGCTGACAATGGCCATTGAAGAAGTTAGCACACCTATCATAGCTTCGATAGGTTTTGATGTAATCCAGTCGCCGGTCATACTGGAAGAAATAGATCATAAAATGGCAGTCAAGGTGGTTAGTGAGCTGACCATGATCCCACAGTAAAGCTGACAAGGAGGAGAATCGTTAGCGAAATGAACGGTACAGTATAAGTAGCATTTTTCTGCATTTCCTCCTTCAAAATAGAAAGACTGAAAATGGATGTGGTGAAAGGGGCCAAAGGAGTGCCAAGTACTCCACGTATAGCATCAGCAAAAGCAACAGACACCTCATCTGAGTTAACCTAGAAGAAAATACTGATCTTGTAATAAACCCACAAATAAATTTACCTCCTTATAGCCGGGAATTTGGTAGATCAAATGAACCATTTCCACATATTTCAGTTCATTATTGCCACCAAGACGTACTCCATAGAGATGCGTGGGCAAAAACATTTTATTTTCAAAAAATGTCATAATGGGATACTCGATTTTGATTCGAGGATCTGCTCTCAGCTGGAAAAACATTTCTGTTACGAAAACGCATTGTGAAATGGGTTAATCAAGTGAAACGAAGTGTGAAAAATATTAGGTGGGTCCGAAAGTTTTGTCAGTTTTTTCAAACCATCGGCAAACACGCTAGAATGAAGACAAACAAACATTTCAAAATGTATCCGATGCAGAATTTCACCCCCTTCCCAGATATTAAACTTACATTGTGTTTTGTTGCGAGAGTGACGAGGTATTTGCTGGAAATTGCAACCAGTCGTTTTTACCGTGTCCAACTTTCGCTAATTTTCAAAATTTTTATATGAGACTTTCAGAGGAGCCCCAATAACAATCGAATAGCGCAAACCTTTTGCCAACATAAGCAATTTTTTGTAGCCCTACGGCTTGTCTTCCAGAATTTCTACGATTTATTTTTTGAAGTGACCAAACTTTATATTCAGCCCATTTTAACCTCGTAGAACATAAAACGTTAAACACTTCAGTCATCATTCGATTCAAACTTTTCTACTCTTTCTAGCACTTGTTTTTTGCCGAGACAGGCGAAAGTTGCAGGGGAAAATCGCATTATTTCTCAATTTCAGGAGTGCGCACTGACGTAACCTACACTTCAAAACCTTGATAATTTGAAGCGAAAATCGCTCATTTACTTTGTAATGTTAGCGGTGTTAGCGGTACTAACAATCGTGTTGAAACCTCAATTCTTTGTAGGTTTTGCAGCGTTGGTGCAATAACAGGTTATGCGATTTTTCTTAAACACAAGATTTTTAGAAAATTATTCAGCAAAAATCTGAAAAGCAGTCGAAGAAAAGAAAAAATTTGCATAAGTTGGCAAAATGTTTGCCCTATCCGCTAATTATTAGGGCTCCTCCGAAAGTCTCATACAAAAATTTTGAAAATTAGCGAAAGTTGGACATGGTAAAAACGAGTGGTTGTAATTTCCAGCAAATATCTCGTCACTCTCGCAATGAAACACAATGGGTATTTAGCAGCTGGAAAGAGAAAGAAATCCTGCATCAGATACACTTTGAAGTATTTGTTTATCTCCATTCTAGCATGCCGATGGATTGAAAAAAACTGACAAAACTTTCGGACCCACCCAATAAAAGATAAAATAAAATGATAAAATCATAAAGAAGGACAACAAAAGGTAGAAATTATCTAGCATACTCATTATTATAGATTATCTAGCTCCTATAAAGAGTAAATTCTTTTGGAATGATTTGCAAAAAAATATTTCCTTGCCCACTGTCAAAGAAGAAAAGGAGTGAAAATACTGACATGAGCAATCTACGGCATGGTCACTTTGTGAAATAAATTTTATTTCGAACTATTTGTAAAAACTTCTCACCCGACTGTTCCAAAAAGTATCGAAGAAAATGTCCGCTATTGTGTTGCTAAAAGTGCACTGCTTGAGTACTGGGCACACATCTTTCCCAAAATTCACCTGAAATAAAGTCAAAAATTACAAATTCTCAAAAATCTCGTTATTCTATGTTTTCCTCAACTTGGCAAGTTGAAGACTCACTTCTTCTCCTCTAATGTTCAATGTCATGTTTTCCAAAACATATTTGTTCAGCATTCGAATTAGATGGCATTTCTCCTTATTGAGCAGGTTCTTATCGTCATCCATTGATTCTACAGTGACGGAAACGAATGAGCTGCAAAAGAAAAATTCAGCGAAAAATATAACCTTTTGGAATGATTTCAGAGAAATATACAAGATAATTATGGACTGAAATATTTCAGACAAGAATTCTTTGCTTTGATATCGCGCTGTTCTTTCTGTTTGAATATCTCACTGCTTTGAATTAGAAAAATGTAATAAAAGGAATAAATATAAAAATTCAAAGAAGCGACTATGAAATCACCAAATATAAGCTCATTAAACTTACTTTATCGAATTTTTTTTTACTTCATAAAACTTACTTGTTCGCAGAAGCTCCGGTAAAATTCCTATGCACTTGATATTCTACTCTTGACCGGGAATGTTCGGGTGAGTATAGAAAGCGCAAATCATCCTAAGACACAACGACGTCTGGCTACAGTATCCATACAGACTCGCTCATTTACCTCCATCCTGACATTGAAAACTCCCATTGCTAAGATACATGTCAAAATCAGTGGTCCCAAAGCGAACGATCGAGGATGCTTGCTTATAAATAACCCATATTTGTAGAAACAGTCAGCTAAGAAGTCTTGCAGTATCCCAAAGGGATTTACGCAAGCTAGAAATCCCATCACATGCGCCTGAAATGGTAGACAATGGGAAAATGGATAGGTAAATGAAATATAGGAGTAGATAGGGTTAAAAGTATGGAATAGGAAATTTTACGGAAAGAATAATGACGGTTTTGGTAAAGCTTGTGAGGGAGAAGGAAAGATCTGTAAAGGTCTCTGAAGATCTGTAAAGAGAACTGTTTGATCTCAAGAAAGCCAAGTGTATATTAACAAAATAGCTTGTTAGCACAAATTCATGAATCAGCTACACGTTATCCCCCCCCCTCCCTTCAAGAGCAGTTTCCCGGATTTCGCTCCGGTTTCCACCTTTTCGGAGCCTTTTCGTCATGCTGAAACTATATCTGGGCTTTTCAGCGCATGAAAGTGGCTATTTTCGAAGCTCTTGTAAGTGGGCGGGATACGGGACTAGGAGGCGGGGTCAGGAAAACTTCCGATATGGATTCTAGGCCTTCCAGATGTACACTTTTCGCTGCAAACTTCACTGATAAATTATTTGCGAGAGGGGGGGGGGGGGAGTTTACACAAAACTGTGAAATCTCGGTACCCATGACTTTCCCGGGACGCTGCCTTTAAGGACCCTTCCCGCTTCCGTTTATTCGCATTTATTTTCCGTTTCCTCACGAATGAGTATTGATTTAAAAGTCACTTGTGGTACGTAATACAAACTCCTTTTTCATAGAACATAAAATCTTACTCCCGTATATGGATGCAAACGTGGAACGTGGGAAGTTTTGTGGAATTTTTTTCTCGATGGGAGAAAGAAATGCATTTCGATGGTGCACTTTTTTCTAGTAATAGAAAATCACGAATCAAGATTTCATCATGTAATTTTTAAAATTGAAGAGTATAGGACTAGTTTTGTGTAGTCTCAAAGTCTTGTCGACCTTGAACTTATAAGAGTTTAATGTTTTGCAGAGATTCACGGTAATACGGTTGCTGCCGTGTTCCAGATGCCCGATTGCCGTCTATTTATTTGGAAATTTTGACTTGGGCATATTTATGATCACTTTCAACAAAATGGGCTGTCACGTGTGTATGTTGGAATGCATGATGGGGTGAACTCCGGAAGACTCAAGTGCGCTCGTAGAAACATTTTGCCAAAGAACTGTGATAAAAAGCTGAATTAAATACGGAGTCAAAAATTGCACTTTCTTTGAGTAGTATTTTTTGACTTACAGCACAAAATAATGAAGACTTGGCTTCTGAGTGATTCCGCTAGAAATCTTAGCTCTACTCAGGCAATCATTGACTTGGACATTTTTTACTTTTGCAAGAAGGGCTCGAAGCAATAATTGTAGCATATTTTTTCTGATGTATAGCTTAGCCTTCAAGAAAGCATTGAAGTATTCACATATTTGCAGTTTTCATCATTAAAATACGAACGAAAAAGTCTAGCCAAAAAACTCTCAAAACTTCCATACATTTTGTTTATAACAATAATATATAAGAAAATCACCCATTCTGTTCTTGGATTGAAGCCACTTTATGATAGAATTCGTGGCTTTTAAAAGATGTGAAAGATACGTGCTTACATAATTTTACTGAGCATTTCTACTCAAATTGCTCTACAAAATGAATGTAATCTTGTAGACAAGGGAGTCCTCATTGACATCAGAATAATTTCTACTAAAATTATTAGGGTGAACCACACAAAGGTTTTTCTTTGAAAGAACTTGAAAATCTCCAATTCTATTGATGCTGCTAATACACAATTTTTTTGAAATCTAGATCAATCGAAATCAATCATATCAGGCAGTGATCGAAAACAGGAAATGAACGTTTCCTGGATGAGAAAAAGGCTGAAAGTTTGAAAAATGACAAATGACGTGTGATAGTGCACTTATGATAGAATAGAACTGCCTGTACCGGATTCTTACATTGGATCCATAGACAATCAATCGATAAATGAAAAAATCGATGCGAAATCGATTCTCGTCAGGGAGTTACTGCGAGAAGAGTGACCCCCTTTTCGATCATCCGACGCGCAGCGACCTTGTGTGCGTCACCCAGTACATGGAGGCGGACATAAATCTTTACAAACCATGCCTTCACATCTGATTTTCTGACTTGCTGGAAGAAGTCTGGGCATTGCAATAAAATTCATTTTCAACGTTTAGAGTGAATTTGTTGACAGTGACAAGTGCACTTTGGCTGTGTTAAATGCCGAATTTGATGTTGACGATGTAAAAAAACCATTGACATTGCGCTGCATGGTGTAATGTATGAGGTTGTCGTTGCTGGGAAAAAGGGTGGATGCAAAAATCGAAGAGGCAATTTTCTTTTCTTTTTATCCAGGGCTCAGCACCAGTTCCGAAAATGCAAAAAACGAAGTTCTCTTAATTTTCGCAAAATTTTACGAAGCTCCTTTGACCCTTATCCAAAAAGTCTAAATCGACCAAAAACCGTCCATAAAAAAACTATAGTTTTGGACCCACAAAAACGATAATCCCTTTGGTTTTTGGCCCAAAAACGATATCCAGCTTGGTTAGAAGCCACCTGTGCTCAGCCTTGGTTTTATCAGATTCATACATTTTTATCAGATTCATACATTAGTCTCGCAACGAAGATATATAAAAACCGACCTTAAAAAGTTGTGCATAGGATTGCTATGCTTGCTGTTCGCGAGTTGAGGTTCATCGAACACCTATTTTATCGAAAAAACAAAAACAAATCCCTAACAGTGCCAGTAGAGCCAGTAGATCCTCAGTACAAATTCACGACGTTTTTATCGACTTCATGGAATGATGAACGACTTTGAAAAAAGGTGATCCCCTGAGGATTCTCAGGGGAGCACACGAAAAAGTGGAAGTTTCAGCTTGTGTGACACCCATGTTCTGCCATCCATAATACTCAAGTATCATGATATGAAAACTCTTATAATAAAGACAATAGGAAGAAGACGGATACCTCGAGTAGCGAAGTAAAGCGCCCCTCTCAGCTTCCCTCTCTCTCAGCGGAGACGTACAACTTTTACAATTTAAAAAAAAGCGCAATAGCCCGATTCGTATGAGATCACCGTATCGTGGCCACATTTCGCTTCAGAGTAGACGAATTCTCGATCCAAGGGTGAAATTCGACTCAGTTCGGCGCGGCGCATCTTCTGACGTATGGATGTGCCGGCTTGGATGCAGTAGGAGGCCAAACCACGAATCGTTTCAGATTTTTGCTTACGGTAGATATTCCACTGAGTGCAGTGAATAAACACACTGAGAACCTACTGTAAGCAAAAACCTGAAATGATTAATAGGATTTGGCCTCCTATATCCAAGCGGGCATTTCCACTTCCATACATCAGAAGATGTGCCGCGCCGAGCTCAGTCGAATGGTGCCCTTGGATTAAGAATTCGTCCACTATAAAGAAAGACATGGCCTAGAGAGCGGTGATGTCACTTGAATCGGTCAATCGGGCAATCGACCGTTTTTTATTTCAAAACATACAAGCAGTAGTGCACTTGCATCTAAGAATTGCATAAATTCTTGAATAGTTATTTTTAGGTCTAACACATTCGTTTGAGTTATCATATTTCAGAGGAATATTTTGTGCTTTCTGATAATGCTTGAAGAACATTGCTGGCATATCAGGGTGCTATGAGCTAATGAAAAATAAGAAGCCTTTCTTCAAATCCTATCCTTAAAATAAACTCACGCAACTCTACTTACTATCTCGAGTTTTATTCGACTTCCAATTTTGTTTTGAGTAAACTCATACGGGTGGGGACGAGTGGCATAGTGGTATGAGGCGCCGCTAGGACCATATCGGACCTAAATTCGATCCCCGCGCCTGTGCCAAGCCCTCTACCTTCCGGGGTAAATTGGTACCAGAGTTATCTGAGAGTTCAAAAGCACTAACTTGAAAATCGGCTGGCCTCAGCAAGTCATTGTAAAAGAGTTGCACGCATTCTCCTGCTTTTTCGAGTACGAAGTAGAATGCATTCGAAGCATACCCGCAAAGGTACTAAAAACTCCGAATCCTTTATCTTTTTTTTATTTGAATCATAGTAACATCTTAAATGAAATTACACTGAACTTTTATGATCAATTTTGGAGCGGATTTTTATTTATTTTTTGATGCAAGATTCACGGACCCACAGATGTAGGGCGCATGTCAAAAACGCACTTTCGTATTTTCCATAACTTAACAGTTATGTAACTCAACGTACGGTATCAATCTCCCTTATGGCGAACCGAGAATGAGGGCAGGACGGCAGCCGCTAACGAAAAATTTGAAAGTGACGTGAATTACAAATTTATGCCATGACTTGTTTTTACAAAAGTGGTTACATAGTTCCTGAAAAAAAAAACTTCGTAATCCATGTTATTTTGATAGAGATTATTCTCGCGCTGCAACTACCTTTCAGAATTCAACTTGTGATTACGCTAAAAATTGGAAAGCATATCGAGATTAATATGAACGCAGTTAACGCCCTACGCTCCTTCACTCAATTTTGTCGCTCTCCCCCTTCCCCGCCCAAAAGATTCTTGGACCGCCAGTATTACCTACTTATGTATTAATGACGAGTCAACTGCGGATGAGGCCCATTACGTCTCGGAGCTGGTGTGTCGAAACTAACGCACAGATACAATCATACAAAGTTGTCCAGCTCGATTCGGAGATGTACACATATTTTATCATCAGAGCTACTTGAAATTATCTTTGTCTTTGTATTGAAATGTCTAGAATTAACCAATATTGATATCCTCGGCACAATGCAGAAGCAGCCGTGTATGTGAAACCACCAAAAGTCCTTGTCAAATATGCTAAAGAGATTTAGTAGAGACTATGGAGTAAACTCAGTGACAATTGTCCAGGATCAACCAAAATTTGTTTTGATGCTTCAATAAAACCATTATATCAATTTTGTAGAAATCGTTAAATGGACATAAAATTTCTCGTTTGCGTATTTAAATGTTAAATTAACTTCACCTTCCTTTCTTTTCGCAAGAAGTACTAGTTGTGTTCATGACCCGAAATTCTGCAGCGAGAAAACAGGCAAATCTGTTTAGATTGATCTTCATGTGAGTGAAAAGCCTCACCTGAGCCAATGTACAAGCTACGCTCATTAGATTTGTTTATTGTCGCGAGTTCAGCCGTAAACTTCTACCCAAAACCGTAACGGAGGGAGCTGACGGGCCCGCTTGGAATACGGTATTGAGCAAGACTTCTGCTGATACTCGATTACGAATGAGTCGCATAAGCTGTCGCCTGGACAGGGCTTTGGCCAAAATAGTTAATTACCACAGCGCTGACGTCCGGATTTGACAAAACTTTTCCTTTAATGACCTCAAAAGGGCAGGTCCGGAGATGAAAAGCGTCTCCACAATACCGTACTACAATCTAGATTTTTATCCCCAACACATATGTAGCTCAATAGCTGGGTAGTCTGCACGCTACCTATGCGTGGCAATTAACGACCCTCTTACTAGTAATTTCCTACGAAAACCTTTTCTAGTGTGACATATTGTAGAAGTATGTATTTAGACCTAACCTATATCTAATTATATGAGATGGCAAGGAAGTAAGGAAAAATGTACTTTAATGAGCAGGTCTAAATTTTGTAAATCGTCAAGTAATACACGTAGTGTGCGAAACAAATAAGTCATAAATGATAATCGACGATTGAGTCATAATCGACGATAAAAGCTGGATTGCTATACAGCAGAGACTTTCTCGCAGAGACATCAGAAAAAAGCTTTATTTCCAAGACAATCACGAAAGTACGGACGGAAATTGGATTGGATAGTAGAACATGTAAATCCATTCGTGCGTTGTGGCATTCAAGCGATACATTCCATGCTGAGGGATCCAAGAGTACATATTGTAGCAGAAATTTTTCCCATCCGCTACCGATCTGAACATCATCAAACTCAGTACGAAGACGTTGATGTAAAAAGAAGAGTGCTTACAGCACTGTCTGCCCATTGAGTTTCACGGTGACTTGACCTGGTAGAAATGGAGACTGATGAAAGGTAGTATCATCCTGTTCCGTGTGCTTATCCTCAGACTGTAGGTAATATATACATCTAGGAATGATTATACCTTTTTGAGCATCACCTCTCCCCACTTCATGAGACTTTCTCTGTAGTAGTAAAATATACCATCATCATACTTGATGGTTTTGGCGCGAACATGCAGGATGATATGATACTTTGATGTTCTTTCCGATCTAAGAACTGGGCCAACCATAGTCTAAAATCTTCCATTATTGGCAAACTGAAAACAAGCCAAATTTTTTTATGTCTGCCCCTGTGGACATCTACGCCTAGATGTATGCGTCTACGAATGGAGTAATAAATACACAAGTGGGCGGGGCAGCTCCACCTCTTGTAGCATGCTCGACCCCCTCGGTAGAAAGTGCTAGGAAAGTGTTCAGTGATCTTTCTAGAATTTCGTCACATACTCCTTTGGGATGCTCTGTGTAGTCATGCGTTTTCGAGATCCCATTCTTTAGGAAACTCTCACCCACGGGCATTCTAAAAATTGTAGATCTTAATAAACAGCTTTTCAAGAGCTTATCGTTCTACATTCCACCGCTCAAAATCAGGCCGTTCGTGTCCGTCTCAAAAATTGAAATAAAATCAATTATCAGCCTGTCGTCCGATTCTGTATGCTCATTGCAGTTTGCTTTGGAAGAGGGCTTGATTGTCACCTGAAGGCACTTGGTTCAGTACTTCAGGTTTGGTACGATATCCGATATACCTCTATTTTTACTCCATAGGTGCTTGCAACGCAGAGTGTAAGCGTGATTGTGACTGTGAACAACTTGAACATCTTCTCGCAGTCCCGTTGTGATATGCTTCAGAGAATGTTGATACAGTCGTTTGCTTCTTCGTGCTATAGGCAGCTATAACAGCGGCTTTGCGATCACGACGCTTCGGTGTGGAGCACTTAGAATGAAATGAACATCATGGCTGCATCATTTAGTCGTCGTGTTTTCGTAAAGCTCGTTATCATCTCTATGTTGAGTAAGCACTTTGTTACATCACAACAAGTGGGGTTGAGTCTGACTAGCATGGATGGAGATTCGAAATGACTCTTATTTCTATGCTAGAAGGTTGATATGTAGTTCTAGCAGTCAACATGACCCAGGTTTCGATGTTTGTCTTTCATAAAAGCTTAGGATTGGGTCATAATGGTTATCCTTAGGTACCAATTCACTAAAGCCTCCGATTTAGTCAGTTTCTGCCATCCCCAATCTTTTTAATGAATAGCACTAAAAGGGAAGTACCTTTGGTGATCTCAGCCTCTTAATATAAGATGTATATGAAAATGCTCCGGAGGAACGCTTTGGCGAGATGTCCCTGGTATGGTAACTACATCAAAATGCATCATTTTTTCAATTTTTGTGAAAGACTAGTACGTATCTTGTAATGCCACTACAACGACCTATCGGTGGATGCATTGTCGTGGATGTGTTGAACACAAAAATGATTTATCAAAGAGAAAAACTAGCGACTCCACCAGGAACTGAGGGTAGCAAACTACCCCATTCACCATTACACTAGACAACAGCGTTTCCAAATTCTTTGGCTCCCATATCCAAGACATTCCTCTCATCGCCTCTTCCGAAGGTGGAAGACGTAAACCTTCTGAGAGGAACACTTTGCAAGCATCCATCCATAAGTGCTCCCACTGCCCTTCTATGAACGTTGTAGAAGACCATTTTCCAGCTTTTTGCATGGTCCCATAATGATCCCCGGTCTTCGAAGTCACTTTTCTTTCTTCGAAGTTAACGAAAACCTTCCAAAGTTGTACTAAACGTCTAACACACAGTGCTAAACATGTTGCTGATAAGAACGAATGAGCTTTTGAAATTTCGAATTTTTTTGATAAACTCCTACTTTCGGCTTATGGTTCATCACAAACTTCATTACTCTATCATCTGCCCTTATCAGCAACTTGCTTAGCGCTGTTGAGTTAGACGAACAGTACAAATTTGGAAGGTTTTCGTCAACTTCGAAGAAAGAAAAATGAATTGGAAAAAAATACGATCGGCTCCCGAAAATCATCAAGGGACCATACAAATACCTAGAAAATGAGAATACCTACGGATAGTTATACGGCGTGAAATCTAGATATATAGAGCTTCAGGATATGAGACTTTCTTTTGAGCTACGATTCTCTATCCGGCGGGGATGTTAAAGGTAGAGTTCGGGCAAAAGTTGATTTTGAGATTTTGTGCTTATACGGGCCTATTTGCCATGCTGAATCCGACAATCCACACTGGAGAGCGCGAAAACGGCGGAAAAGGCTATTAATGCAGGAGTCTTTCCCACTGTGGATTCACGCTCCGTGCTTCCAGAGCGATCTCCTCGACCGCTAGCAGCCCTGACATGCCACCGGCCAAGTGCAAACGCGTGACTTGAAATCGGAAACGAAAGGACCGCTCCAGAAGCTAGGAGCGTGAACCCACATTGGGGAGGACCCCGCCCACTTGCTAATTTCTTCCAGCGTTAGATCCCTTTTTCGCTGTTTTTGCGTTCTCCAGTGTGGACTTCTGGATTCAGCATAACGGATAGACCCGGTCAAGCACAAAGTCTCAAGACTTTTTGCTCGGACACTGCCTTCAATGCGGCCCTTAGCTACTATGCACTGCATGTCGGGGAACTAAGAAGGAACTTAGGACTGGCATTAACATCCTACATTCCCGCTGGGGAGAAGATCGCAGCCAAAAGAGAGCTTCATTTTTTGAAGTGGGGTTTCAGATTTCATACCGTCTATCCATTCTCAACTGTTTTCAAGGCTTTATCTATGAACATAATGAACGGGACCGGAAGTTTTACAATACGCACTTTCCTCCTCTTTATGATCGCTTGACGATGACCAGCGACCGACCGTCTTTTATTCAGAGTCGTTTATCTTCCTTCGAAGTCAGTAAAATCACCTCACAGTTGTACTGAATGATGCTAAACGTACATATTCCTGATCAGAACCAATGAGTCACTGGGATATTGAAAATTTCGATAAACCCCAAGTTTCGACTTGTGGTTCATCGAGATATTCATCAGTTCAATACATCCATGTTCTTGACGGAAATGTTCTTAGCGCCCTTGGGTTAGGTGGGGTGCAACTTCAAGATGATCTTATAGACTTTGAAGAAAGACAAACACTTTGAAGAACAGATGACCGGCTGTCGGGAATCACCAGGGGATCATACAAACAGCTGGAAAGTGCGGCGTGTACAACTTCTGGCTTCCCTTCATTATGGTTGTAGTGAATGGTAGTAGAAATACTTCAGAATAACTAGACGGGATGAAATTCAGAACGCAGCTTCAGAGTATGAACTTTTTTCTGATAGTGCATGCGGCCCTTAGTATTCATGAACGAGCATTCGCAGAGCAGTGAAATGATTTCGACATCAAATGTTGAATATTAATCGCAAGAAAACGACCTTCACTGTTGAGTCGTCTGTGCGTTTTGCATTCAACTTATCACAGAGAACGACGTTGAGGAACTAACTACGATCTACTTTTGTATCATCTTAGGGCCAGACACACGCCAGCAAATGCACCGCCTGCAATTCCCTCAACAAGAAGGCTGTTAGGGTTAAGCAGAGTTCATGCGATTTTATCGCCGCGATTCTTCTAACAAAACAAACAGTTACGAGTCTATCGCATTTCGGTCATCTTGCATTTCAGTTGTGATAAGTCTCCAACACGACCAATCGTGACTAACTACCACAATCAGGATCACGTGGGGGTGTGGCACGCCACACCTGGGCTGGAGGGGAGGGGGGTCGTTCTTGAGGTGATATAGTAATACTGGCGACATGATATCAGTCAACAAAGGCATGTTATGCAAAATACTAACACTGATGTTTTGGTTCACCGTCGTATATGTACAGCAAGCATAATAAAAGAACTCTAAAAGCATAAGAGCATCATTGTTGTAATCATCAAGTCAAGTAACCCCTGTGGGCAAAGTTTCAGCAAATTTTGACGTTCCTAAATATTAGGCCAGTCAAATGAGTTTTCGACTTTTTCAAACAAGTTAACGTTGACTACTCCTTTTTGCACTTAATGCAGAGTGATACTAAACCTCCGAACAATGGAATTAAAAGCAAGCCAAAATCTCGTTTGTTCCATTTTTCGCTATCAATATCTTAGATTAGAGAAGCTCAAACAATCAAGCTTAAATCACGTCTGCATAAACTACGAAGCTTAGACTATCCCTGTTTATTGTTGTCGCCTCCCCTTGCGACTCACGTAGTAGCGCAGTCTTAGCAAGTTACCGGAACCCAATACTTTCGCATATCGTCGATTCGCTGACCGTATGGACTGCTCAAACTCTATGGACCACGCACGGCGCGGTTGAATTTGAGAGCACGATCTGACAATGGCGAAGTTTTACTGGAGCAAGCATTTAACTCGCTGCGCGTGCTCCGCAGTGATGTTCAGTCCGTGCGGTCAACGAATCAACTATATCTTATATTTGCATAAGTTAGAAAAGCGACTACATTTTCCCCTACTCAGACAATTGCATCGGAAAGTTCGCGGCCTCAAAGCGTGTTACATGGTGCGCCGCGGTCCTTAAAATTTCAGCCGCACACGCCGCGGCCCGTGTATATTTTACCGGGAACGCCGCGGCCAAAGTTGAAATCGGGAAGAGATTACCGGGAAGGTCGCGGCCCAACCACCTCACTCGCCGGGCCGCGGGCCCTATCAAAGGCCGCACTTCTTACACGCTGTAGTTTAAGGCGCAACCCTCGTGAGGTACGTCGCAGCGATGGGGCTACCCTAAGTCTTTATGAGGCTGGGTATCGCTTCTCGGATTTGGTCCTATCTGAGAGAGTTGTTCTTATGCTGATGAAATAAACTTCAGCAATCGGATGAGTAATATCGACGACATTAGATGATGTCGACAGATGAGCTACAAGTTGCTCAATTTGTGCTCAAGTCGTTGTCATGAAAGACACGCCAAAAGAGTTTTCACTCTTCCTAGGCCTCACAAGCATGCTAATCGGGTCAACTATCGGGCGCTTACAGGGTGCACCGCGGTCACTTATCGGGTCCAATTTCGTTTATACCGGGCAGCTCGCGGCATGGATGATTGGTGGTCGAGCAAGCACCCGCGAACTTCCCGATGCGATTGTCTGAGTAGAAGACACGATTTCGAATGAAATTCCTAGTGTGTAAGGAAATAGGTTGAACAGTATCAACAATATGAAAACGCAGGTTCAACAATGTTTTGAAGGTAAGTTAATCGGGTGTGGCACACCCTTAAAATGTGGCAGCCACAGCTTTTCTGGGTCCTGCACACCCCATTAACTTAGCTCCAGAGAGAATTTTGGGGAGCAAATCATAAACAGTTCGATAGCGAAGATCTCGTAGTTTTTGTGGAAGTGACTAGAGCTGAATCCATTTTCTTTCTTTTGAGCAACAGTTATACTGGAATCACAACCACTATAAGCGAAACAAGAGACAAACGAGATTTTGGCAGGCTCCTAAATCCATAGTTTGATGGTTATTTGCAGCAGAATTCATAATATGGATAAATATGGAGTAACGCTTTGTATCGAGTACAAAAAGAATCAGCTAATTCACTCTTGAAATATAGTTAATCATGTTTGAAAATGACCACTTCCCTTGAGCGTCCCGATATTAGGAACCCTCAAAACTCGCTAAAAGTTGGCCCACGGGGGTTATTTGACATAATAATCTATCCTAATATAATAAAGCGCTAAGGCCGTCTGTTTTTTGTGTGTCTGTGTGAAAATCTGTCTGTCACGAAATTTATAGAGGAAGCTGCAACTAAGCTATCGGGCTGCAATTTTGCATAACATACCTTGCCAGAGTGTAGGCCCACCATGTGCAAGGATGAGCCGGTTCGATAAGCGGGTCCCTCAAAATTTGCGCGTCAAACGGGTCCACGCGCCTTCTGGCACGCAGAACTGGGTCGCTAATTCGACTTTTTGCAAAGTTATGATTTGCCTGACAAGTAACTCTGCGCGCCATGAATTCTAGCCCAAAAGTGCTCAAAAAGTTTGCTTTTTTGCGAGAACAGCGCTAAAAAGTGATGAACGCGTAGATAGTCGATTTGGCAAGGTTTCATTTGAAAAAACTGAAAAGATTTTTGCACTGAAATGTAGCCCAAAGTGACTATTATCCTTATGACGATTATCAGACTAAAATAAATCCAGTAATCCGTTCAAATTCGCATTCGTTTCCCTGCAACAAAGTTTTTTTTTTCAAAATTACCGATCTTACATGGAGATGCTTCATGAATGAACAGTTGCTTACGATTCATTTGTGACGCTCAGCATCGCGTGGTGAGTTTCAAAGCCATTCTCATGCGAACATGAGAAAGGCATAGGGATAGGGAGCCAGTGCGAACCTCCGCGAAGCGAAGGTGACGCACTGGTATATAAATAAAACTCAATCTCTGTAAATTTGTTCGTATGTAAGCATGTGGCTTATAGACTCCTTTGTTTGTGAACCGATGAGGCTGAAATTTGCTCCCTTACAAATGAGGCCAGGCGCAGAAGATAGGCTACTTTTTGCGACGATTCACTGGGTCCTTCTATCGATTTATTGATTTTTTTTACTAATATTTAGGAAAATGAAAGCTATATCATTCATTTTTCCAAGTTAAGTAGTAAGGGCGGTAGAGATCATTTACATTTTGCGGTGAGGAGTGTGCGGTGTCACTAACCGAGCTGATCAAGAAGGACAAATTCACCACGGATACAACACGTTGCTGGAACTGACTTGGAGCTGAAGCAGAAAAGGAAGAGAAAATATAATCTGAAGGAATTGGAGGAATGGTAAGCAAACATCTTAAAGCAGACGGGCCATTTTGAAACCCTTGGCCCAGGCGGGACCGGAGACCGCAGCTAGTTACGAATATATTACAAATTATGCTTGGTAGAGCGTTAATATCATAGCTACGGAACAGTGGCGTACCCAGGATTTCGGCTCGGGGGGGGGGGGGGCGCGGCAAAAAAAAATTTTCGAATGAAGGTGCGGGGCGTCAGCCACGCACTCCGAAAATTTTTTAGGGGTGCTTCTCAACAATTTTGCGGGCCCCCAACCCCTAAAATCTGGAAAAAGGGGGCGTGGCGTCAGCCACGCCCCCGAAAAAATTTTTTTTATAAGGCTAATTTGAATTTTTAAAAATTTTTAAAAATTATTTTAATTGTTTACAAAAATAAACAAGTCATTTGCACATTTTTATAACTCATGTAAGTAACTTTCAAAAATTTCGCGACCCGTTTTCGGGGGGGGGGGCGCGCGCCCCCCCCGCCCCCCCCTCGGTACGCCACTGCTACGGAAGGCAGATAATCATGCTGGTGGGAAGGGAGGGGGGGGGGTCGTATCCGAAGTTATGTGCCACACCTCTTGCTCGACCCTGATCACAACCGGGATGCAAGATGTTCGGAATGCGATGGACTCGTAACTGTTTGTCTTGTTGGGAGAATCGAAATCGCGTGAACTTTGCCAGAGGCCTTACGAGTTCATTTGCTTGCCGGTCATCTTAAATTTCAGTTGTGATAGCCAGTCAGCATCAATTAAATCGTAAAGCTATCACAGAATAGGCGAACAAACCCTACACTTGTATTGCACTTCTTGTACGACTCATTCGTCGCCGCGCGCTCACTTTTGTGCGAACCTCACATGGTGATAGTTCTGCGCTACTTTATGGGCTCCTTCCAATATAACTCTTAAAGTGCGGGAAATTTGAAAATAGCTGGACTGAAGGCGACGCTTGATGGCCTTCTTACTACATGAGCTAGGCAGATGACATACAAACCATTTGGGTCCCTTCATACTACGCCGCAGGGCGCGGGGTGCTGCGGCGTGCTGTGGCGCACGCCACGCCGCAGGATGCAGCAGCCTGCCGCAGCATGCGGCAGTCCGAGGTGTGCGCCGCTGCAGTCGCAGTGAAAATATGCGCCGCTCTCGGACACTGGGAGCGGCCGAGCCGCGGACCTTTTCCGGCTGGAATTTCGCAGCGTCCGCAGCCCGGCCGGAGATGGGCCGCGGCTCGGCCGGAAAACAGCCTCGGCTCGTCCGCTTTTGGGCCGCGGCTCAGCCGGAGCTGGTTGTCAGACCGTCTAGTTCATTCTAGCTTGGATACAGTATAACTGTTTTTTTTATTTACTGGCATATAGAATATACACAGTAAAAAAACAAAGCCACCGATAAAGCGGCTTTAAAACCAAGTCCGATTTCGACACTGGACAACACACGATGCTATCCAAAGTTTCCAACATGTTGATCTTGTTTCCTCCTTGGAGACTGGAAAGACATCGAAGGCTATGGACGTTAAGGGCAGCCTGACCATGCGTCGTACATTACGCAAGTATTCTTTATGCTCAGAAACTGGGAGCGGCCGAGCCGCGGACCTTATCTGACTAAAATTTCTATAATGAAACTCCAGCCGCGGCTCGGCCGGAGTTTCATTATAGAAATTTTGGTCCGCAGCTCAGCCGCTGCAATGCTCCACTCCCATCATTAAGACCGCGGCTGAGCCGGTAAGCCATATTCAGTCCGCGGCTCGGCCGGTGCAATGATATTGACATGAATTAAGGTCCGCGGCTCGGCCGCACTCCGGCCACGCCCACAAATCAAGGCCGCGGACGGGCGGAAAGGCCTTTTGAGGCCGCGGCTCGCCCGGTCCCAGTGTCTGAGCTCTATATGAAGGAACATTCTCGAAGAACATTTACATGCAGCAAATATAAAGTCACATCAAATCCGGCGAAACTGTGCTGCCATGAGCGTATATTACGCTCATGGCAGTCAGTCATGGCAGTGGCGCATGCCGCAGGACGCGGCGTGCTGCCGCGTGCTGCGGCAGGCTGCTGCGTCTTGCGGCGTAGTATGAAGGAACTTTTTCTAGTTTCTTGAGACGGGCTTAATAACGCTTCGTCGTTTGACTGGAAACCCCTATTGACTCGTTTCGCATAGAAGCAAGACAAAGCCATGCGCGATGTCAGGTTTGGAAGAGATGTGAGTTAAATGATGTTAGCATAATTCTCCAGCAAGAAACTATTTTTATAGAAATTTGCACGCCATGCCAACTGGTCCATCTGCATCGGAACAAGCTGCACGACAGCACCCATTCATAAGGAATTGCTGCTTTTAAGTCGCCTAAATGGCAAAATTTTCGGCTTGGCAGCAGCTCCTGCGTCAGGCACGCCTGCGCCCATGTATCTCCCTTCATATGGGATTAGCCGTTACATAGGACATTGAACATTGAACATATCTACAATTAAGTAGATTTAAACGTTGGTGTTAGTGAAAACATGCATCTTTTGCACCCACATTGTTTTTTTTGCTTTCTTACAAGATGAAGAAACCTTGCCGATTTTCTATCATCACCTATGTGTCATTCTGACTGTACAGAGCAAAGTGTGATCGCTTTCGCTCAAGATATTAATGCACAGAATAGCCTCAGTATCAACAAGGTATGAGTCGAAATTTCTGTTGAGCATATTGTAGCACAAAATTTCGCAATTATGCATTTTTTGAGCAAACTGATTATGCTTTATGAAATTAGAGTGAGAAGAGTGAAAAGAAAATATTGTTTCAATCTTCCATCTTCAAAGGAAACTATGGTTCGAAAAGAAATTTGTAATCACGGGAACATACATCAAAAGCTAGGGGAAGCGCGTTTTCAGATATTATAAAAAGCCATCTTCGCTCTCGACAATTTTCAGCATTTTTAAGACATGGCAGGATCTGGCATACCGCAAAACCATGCAAATACCATTCAAATTTATGCCAAAAAAATGCACTCACTTTACGGTCTGCGCAAAACAAAATAAAACGGTGAGATCCCGTCCTTTAGTTGCTGCTAATCAAAGGCAAATATGCAATCTCCGTCTGTAACACTACGTCATTAAGCATAATCCTTCCTCGAACCAACCCGAAACGAAGATGCAAAACCGGAGTTCATCAATTGATGCTACAAACTTCCATCAAATACGCTTCCATCACTGCAATTTCGTCATTTTAGGGCCCTCATGCACGTGCATCCCCGCGGGGAAAAGAAAGGGATTTGAGAGGGGACGCGTTTCTGCTACTCTAAATATCTTTCTTCTTTTTCTATTTGGGTTATGAAGGTTCTCATACCCTGTTACCTGCGCATAATGAATACCAGAGTACTGCCGTACATGATTAGATCCTCACTCTTGTGTCTCTCATTCAAAGCCATTTTTCTTCCTGAAAACTCAGAGAAAACGCAATTGTGCTGAGGATATACTACAGCACTGCTAAGCATGTTTTCGACAGAAGAAATGGAATTTGAAAATTGTGAAATCTTCGATAATCCCTGCTTGCGAGCAGTGGTTCATTGAAGATCTCGATATCTTATCTTAAGACTCTGGCAACCATTATGGGCAGATATCAGGGTATAAACGCCTTCATACAGATAGGAAAGAAGAAGAAGGATATCTAGAGTAGCTAGATATGACGCGTCCCCTCTCAAACATTCCTCTCGCCGCGGAGATTGCATTTGGCAAGCGTCACAAGCGCAGCTATTTATCTCCGCGCGCAAATTTTACCGCATCTTAACTGCGCAAGCACACTATATTAAGCGAAAAATTTACTCGACTGTAGCTATCCGATGCGCGTTTTTGGATTGATCTTAAGTAAAAGTGGTGACAGTATTGGGCATGTAACTATCTCCACACTCATCTCCTATATAAGCAAGTTTTAACATTTATTTGTTGATAAGAATATCACGCGTTCATTGATTGAATGTTGCTTTTTTGTTAGACAGAACTTTCATCCTTTCAAGTACTTCGGCTACTCAGACATGGGAACTCGATGCGTACGTCGACAAGAAGGTTTGGAATTCTCCTTAAAGCATGTTATGATGACATAATAATAATAAGGATACTCATTACTTTGAAGATTCTGCTACGTCCTGTCTGCTTATAATCGATCGGACATAGATGAGCTGCTGGTGCACGATGTCTTTTACAGAACACTTGTTGGCAAAGACACTTAATCTCTTGTTCGGCTAATGATAGTTTCTGGTGACACATCTACACAAAATTCTTCAAAAGACAAGCTATTTTGAATCAGTGTTAACAAACCTTGCAAATTGTTTTTAGCTCAATATCTCGTTTCATTTTGACTTGATTTAGTTCTTCGACACTCTCTGGTGGTACAAATAATTCCGACTGTTGCAATTCCAGTTCTTCCTGACTTTCTGGTGGCTCGAAGAAGCACTGCAATTCTTTTCCAGAAAAGGATACAATTTCTCAGCTAAGTACCTGCAACTCTTTTTCGGAAAGTTCTTGCATGTTCTCTGTTGCTGCAGAAAGCATTGCAACAATCGTATCATTCAATTTCGAACCTTCATCTGGTGTTTGTGACTCGACAGGGGAAAGGCTGGAATAATTCAAAGAGATAAAGTTTTTGGTAATTTGTCTTAGCCATAGAGTGCTCTTGAGGATTGAAAGGGAGTCCGATGTAAGGATATTTCGATACGGCGGCAGTCACGCAGCCACAGCTTGAATCCTTTGATACCATTCTGATATACTCTTTGTACATTTTCATTTTCATTTTTTTTTCGTTATGCTTTTGTATACAAGCTATCACTATTATTCAAAAATCTCCTTTAAACCTGCATAAATGATGGATATTGCTCAGTTCTGCTTTGCCACAACAGCTTTTTATAATAACGATTTATTCCGCTGTCTATCATTTCGGGGATACGCCGTCGTCAGAAGCCTGAAAGGCAGTGACCGGGCAGATTGGGGGTTTTGGGATTTCAGTGCCACGCGAAAGTGGCCCCTCTCAGACACAACATCGCGCAAGTGCGAGGTAACAACCAGATATGCGATAGTGGGAGCCGATTCTCCCCCTACCTTCACGTTTGAGCTGATACAGTGACCACCTTCACATTTTGGCGAAAATTTTATTGCTGAATGACAAAAAAGGAAAATAAGTAAAACAAACGCAAAAGGGATTGTTGAAAGCTTATATTTATGTATCACGCTTTTAGGAACCTGCCGTCACCTATCGCAAGCAGCCGAAGGCCATCACCCGCCATGGACGCATCCACTCCTCGGCACTTCCACGAATCCGGATAACAATGTTTTTTACGAATTTCGATATAAAGAGCTCTAACACAGACCTCTTTAGGGCCAACGGTTGTAACTCAACAGCCCTCTTTAGGGTAACCGATACGATGAATAAGCAGCATAAACATTCCAAAGAAGCGTATTAATCAAATGGCGTCTTTGAAAGTAAAACTCAGCGAGACCTGCAGATCTAAGTAAATTTTGTTATAACGTATTGCGAAGAAGGTAGGTCGATCCAGGTCCAGGCAGTAACCGCCGAGCACCAGAATTTCGAGTGACAAAATAGCGAAAAACCGTGCGAAATCTCCATTTTATAAATCTGGTGGTTGAAGATGTCAACAATTTCGACTTCATACATTTTAAAGGGTAAGGTTGTTCTACCAGACAGTGAAAAAAAATCAGGCTGATTTGAGAAGTGGTCGCCGAGAGACAGAATTTTGAAATTAGGCCATTTTAGGTTGCTTGGGTGACAGCTGACATATGAACTCCTATAATTCTTGAATGTGGAGATGTATGATGTTACGACTTCATAGGTTTCATAGAGAAAAGTTTCCCCTATTAGAATATTCTTAGACGCAAAAATTCATTGAAATATCGCCGAGATCCAGACTCTTGAAAAAGCAGGTAAAAAACCGCTTTTCAAGATTTGACAGCTCAACCACTTCAGAATTGCGTGAACCATGTTGCAACTTCATAGATCAGATTCTCCTCTTCAAGAGCTTTCAGACGATATATGATATGTGGGAGTTTAGGGTTTACTATGACTTATGCCAGGGAAGGACTTTTCATCACTAAGGGCCGCATGTACTAACCTCCCCGCTGGGGAGGGGATCGCAGCTTAAAAGAAAGCTTCATATTTCGAAACTCCAGGTACCTGGATTTCACGTTGTGTACCTATCCGTAGGTATTCCTACTACCCTTCACTGTGAACATGTTGAAGAAGAGCGAGAAGCTGTACGAACCGCATTTTCCAGCTTTTGTATGATCCCTGATGATTCCCGGCGCTTTTCTTTGAAGCCATTTTTCTTTCTCCGAAGTTAACGAGAACTTTCCAAAGCTGTACTGAACATCTAACACAACAGTGCTAAGCATGTTGCTGATGAGAACAAATGAGTTTTTGAAAAGTCGAATTTTTCGGTAAACCTCAAATTTCGACCTGTGGATCATCGAAACTTTCATGACTTCGAAACATCATTTGTTCTTATCACGAACATGCTCAGCACTGTCGGGTTGGATGATCTGCACAACTTTGGAGGTTATCCGTTAACTTTGGTGAAAGAAAAATGACTCTAAAGAAAAGCGCCGGGGATCATCAGGGATCATACAAAAGCTGGAAAATGCAGTTCGTACAGCTTCTCGCTCCTCTCCAATATGTTCATAGTGAAGGGTAGTAGGAATACTTACGGATAGGTACACAACGTGAAATCCAGGTATGTGGAGTTTCGAAATATAAAGCTTTCTTTTAAGCTGCGATCCCCTCGCCGCGGGGATCTTAGTGCATGCGGCACTAATTCTCACCCAGCCCTCTCCAGTGTACTGGATGGAGGCCGCCAGGGGAGAATAAGTGATGAAAAGTCTCCTCCCCGGCTTAAACCCGCATGCGACATCGAACTCCCACATATCATATATCATCTGAAAAACCTTGAAGAGGAGAATCTGACCTATGAAGTTGCAACATGATTCATACAGTTCTGAATATGAGCTGTTAAATCTTGAAAAGCGCTCTTCTACCTGCTTTTCCAAGAGCCTGGATCTCGGCGATATTTAGATGAATTTTTGCGGCTAAGAGAGTTCTGATAGGGCAAACCTTACTCTACGAAACTTATGAAGTCGCAACATCACACATCTTCACATTCGAGAATTATATGAGTTCAAATGTCAGCTGTCACTAAGCAACCTAAAATGGCATAATTCTTTAAAACTTTGTCTCTCGGCGATCACTTCTCAAATCGACCAATTGTTTCACTATCTGGTAGAACAACACTTACCCTTTAAAACCTATGAAGTCGCAATTGTGACGTTTTCAACCACCATATTCATGAAGTGGAAATTTCGCGTGGTTTTTCGCTATTTTATCATTCGAAATTCTGGTGCTCGGCGGTTACTGCCTGGATCGACCTACTTTCTTCGCAGTACGTTATAACAGAATTCAAATACTCCATTTGATTGACACGTTTATTTCAAATATTTATGCCGCTGTATTCATCGTATTTGTGGCCCTAAAAAGGGCCGTTGGGTTAGAGCTCTTGAAACATCAAGAAGCTTCGTTATCCTTTGTGGAAAGTGCTGGGGCTTAAATGCCTCCATGCCAGGATGGCCTTGTGGTGCTGGCAGTAAGCGATTGCGAGTTTCTAAAAGTAACTGAGTGAAAAAAAGCTTTCAATAACCTTCGATTTTGTTACTCTAATTTCTCCTTTTTGTTATGAAGAAACTAATGAGACTTTCGAGAAAGAAATATTTACGAAAAGAGACGTTGAGCAGTGCTTCCCCCCCCCCTGGTCGACGTTTTTGGGAAGTGAGTGTCCGGCACTATCGCCTTTACTTTTGGCGTCTTTTAATAGCTGGAATGACCTTCACGTTTGGTGGGCCCGGCTCCCCCTATCGCACCTCTGGTCACATCGACCTAAAGCGAAAAAAAACGACCGGAAAGTGGGGAAACCTGTGCCTTGGGCGGGGTCCTCCGAACAGTTCGAATTCCTGCTATGCGGCAGAGTAGGCATGCCGCCAGTAATCGTAAGGTCCCGCAGCTACTCTGCGTCTCAGCCGGCGGGCGGGGACAGTCAAATTCTAAATCGTAAGGCTTCCGAAAACGCATGTTCTCGCCGTTTTCTCGTCATTTTTAGATAATCCACTTATCGGGAGTTATCCGCAACGCTGAATCCAAAAATCCTGTGGATTTTTGGATTCAGCGTTGCGGATAACTCCCGATAAGTGGATTATCTAAAAATCGAGTTTTTGCCCGGACACTGCCTTGAAAGTGAGTCAATCACCTTCATCAAACGCATAATGCCGTCAAACCTCTTCCAACTTGTACGTTTGACTCGTCCATTGCAATCGCAGTCTAGCGTCCGCGCTGGATCCCAGTCTGGCGTCCACGCTGGATTCCACGCTCTACCAAGACTCTCAGAGAAGAGCACGATAGAAGCTCTTTAGGTGGTCTGCAGTATAGGTTAACAACAAACAGTTCAACTTGTTTGGACATGTCTGAGTAATATGGGCTATCGAAGTCACAGAATGATAAGAACGGCTTAGATCATTGTTACAGACAACTACTCATTCTTGCTATTCAATCTCGACTTACGGCCAAGGAAGGCACCTTCTAAAACCTGTCGAGCAGAGATGTTATCCTCGATTGCCATTTTGATGCAGTTTATTTCAAAGTCTTCGCCGCCATGACCTTTCTCTTTTTTGGAAAAAGAAAGAGAGCTTTGTAAGCTCATTAGGGAAACACAGAAGGGATCACGGCAGCGCAGCCTTTGAAATAAACTGCAACATATTGGCAACCGTGGATAACATTTCTGCTCGAAAGGTGTTAAAATCCGCGTTTATTCTTGTTCGCGATTTGAAATTGAATACTAAGAATACAATTGTCTGTAACAAATGATCTCGTTCTTGTCATTCTCTGGTTTCGATAGCCCATACCCTCGATATCATCTCATATGTCTTCCCTCAACATGACGTGGATTACGTGGCTTGATGAGGCGTCGCCTCGCCTCGGGCTCGCGCCACGTTGCGAGCGCATCGTTTGGCGCGACGTGGCGCTCAACACAACGTGGCGCAGGCTTTTCCACGTTCTTCTTGTTGCCACATCACGCCGAAAATGCGCACGCAACGTGGCGCAAGCCCGAGGCGAGGCGGCACCTCATCAAGCCACGTAATCCACGTCATGTTGAGGGAAGACATATGGGATGATATCGAGGGTAGATACTTAGACATGTCCAAACCAGTTGGCCTGTTTATTGTTACCGTACAATGTAGACGACTTATAGAGCTTTTGTTGTGATCTTCCCTGGATGTGTTGGTAAGTTGAGCCAGCTCGAACCTAGACTGCGATTGCTACGAATCAGACGCAAGAGATGCACGAAGCGTTTGATGGCATAATGCGTTTTTTGATGTGATTGACTTACTTGCAGGCCTCTGAGGACGTCGCATCCGCCAAAACATTAGGCAGCGCAATACATTGTTGTAAAAATCTGTCGTGGCAAAGAATAAGCTGAGCAGTATCACTGTTATTATGTTCATTCTAAGGCCCCGGACAGACTTCACGCGACTTAATCGTCGCGATCTAATCGCCAAGATTTCCATTCATTTTCATTTCACATTCGAAAAATTCGGGCTGGAAAAGTATCACAACCGAATGCAAGTTGATCGGCATGGAATGATGTTGTAACAATTGTCTCGTCGCGATTCAGTCGCGACGATCAAATCGCGTGAAGTCTGCCCGGAGCCTAAAGCGGAAAAAGTACTGTCCCTCCAGTTTGGCTCCTGAAATACCTCAAACAAAAAGCAAATCTGTAGTTTTTTGATTCCCATACGTAGGCGAGATCCTTGAGATTAGTAAAAAATAAGTTTGATTTGAAACTGCTCCTTTCTGTCCGTTTGAATGAGTGATAACAGCGCGCAAAAACATTAACCATGCGTCGATGGCATACAAGTGCGATTTTGGACCGTTACTATACCACCAGCATTGATATAAGGTTCAAATTGTGCCCGTATGTAGCGCATGACCTCTTCTCCAATATTCTGTATCCATTATAGATGAAATTATAGATTGGTGACTCTTGTTTTGGCCAAAATAAGAAGATTATATCACACCCAAATCGCAAAAATTCTTGAAGAGACTAGTTAGGACTGCGCTTGCTTAATGAATTGGATTCAAACTATGATTCGAAATTCCAGATTCCAACAAAAAGTAGCAGGAATAATGAAAAGAGCATCGAACTTTGTCTACATCACCATTTTGGAGAGATAAACGATTATACCTAGTTTTTGTGCCACGTTTTCTGTTCGAACCCTGTTGCGCCGCAGACGCTATTTCGTTGGCAAAATTCAAATTTTCTCCTACTGCAATTGCGGTCTGGCTACATCCAGCATATTTCGCGGACACTAAAACATTCCTCGAGCAATAGAGGATTTCTCAAATCTACGTTATAAAGAAAAAAATTCTCCAAAAAACTTCACACTTCCTTCACACTTGTAAAAGGGAGTTGCAAGACCTGATATGGGATGCGTTGCGAAAAGAGATGCACCGCCGGGTGACATTGCAAAATCTTTGAGCCAATTCTTGTGAGATGCTAGAATGCATTCACATCTTAGGACTTGCGCCAAGTGTACCAGAAAAACCTGAGAATTACGCCGATTTTTTGGCTTCATTTTGAGGGACAGTACTTTTTACGCACCCTGTATATATTCTTATAACATTATAATAATTATCCTGATTATTTGCTTTTATAAGTATTTGTTCATGTTCTTTATTTTTAACAACGCTAGATATAATACATTTAAAATTACGTTTAGTGTTTTCCGAAAGGCTAATTTTTGAGTTAAACTCCGAGAAACCGCACAGCTAAGATCCTTAAAAGGTTAGAAAAAAGCTATTAGTCTATTACGAAATCAATGTGTGTTTTTCTAATCCTTTTCTCGGATAACGTTCTCCCATCATAAATTCTTCCTCGAGACAGATCCGTGTATTATTTGAAATTCTTTAGGTAATATATGTAGCAATGGTTGAAACACCTTTTAGCCTTCACTGTTGAAGTTCCGCTAAATTTCAAATCAACACTCTTGCCCAAGTCAGTTGCAAATAATCGCATTCGAGTCATAGCTAATGTAAGCGAAAAAATCACGGTATGGAACATTTAATCTTTTTCAAAAATATACAGGCTGAGACTACACCTCAATTTGGATAGTTTTCGCTCTCTAGCCGAAATTCTTATAAAAAAGCATTTGCTAGAGTTTTGCTCATTCTTAAAGACTTAGCGTATGCCTCTTTTTCTGGCACGTTTTGCAAGTGCTGCGCCTCTACATGCAGTTAAGAAATTTCAGTGTTATCCCTTGCAGAATGTCTCTTTTCAAAGACACCGTCCACCCAGATTTTCGACGTCCACATTTATGTTGTTTCAGGGCCTTCCCATGTCCCTGATTCCGAATGAAGTCGGAAATGCGCAAAAACCCCGGCAATCCCCGTAGAGATCCTACAGGCCGGCTTTTCGGAACGGTGATTGGATGGGCGCGCACAAGTGGGCGAGCATGGATAGGGGAGGGCGAGCATGGATGGGGATCCTCGTGCATCTTCGCTATTCCGAAGTGATTTTCCCGCTTCCGAAGCGGCATTTTGCGCTGCGACTTGGGCATTGGATTGATAGGGAGCCCTACTATTAGATTAGCTCGAAAGTTCTGGGACGTTTTCGAACTAGATCTGCTATTTCATGAAACCTAACGCATATACATCAGATTGAGGTACCATTCGATAGAGCAAAGCAAGATCTACAAGACGGCATGCGAAAGTTCGCACCAGCGTCAATCCACCATAAGTTTGCGCCCGAAATCTGAGTTGTACTGAAGTTCAAAAAATTACGAGAAATTCATATCTTTGTTCAAACAAATCCTACGAATCTCCAACTTGCTTACAAAAATTGCACACCACATCAGAGACTCATGTGCACGTTCCTGTGTTTGTTCCTCATCTGGAAATCGAGAAAACGAAAATTTTCGTACTCATGTAAAAACGAAGCTGTGCTGTTTTTATTCATGTAATTGACTGATACAAGCCCTTAGAAGTATAACCGTAAATTTTCAGCTTTCTATAGGACGTAGTTCCCGGAAATAACCGAATTGAACTCTCCTCACTCGGGCGTTCCATGCTAAAATCAGTTTTTTTCGACAACTGGGGCTTACGAAAAGCTGAAAATTTGCGGTTATACTTCTAAGGGCTTGTATCATTCAATTACATGAATGGAAACAGCACAGCTTCGTTTTTATATGAGTACGAAAATTTTCGTTTTCTCGATTTCCAGATGAGGAACAAACACAGGAACGGTGCACATGAGTGTCTGACGTGGTGTGCAATTTTTGTGAGCAAGTTGGAGATTCGTAGGATTTGTTTGAACAAAGATATGGATTTTTCGCGATTTTTTGAACTTCAGTAAAACTCATTTGGGTGCAAACTTATGGTGGATTGACGCTGGTGCGAACTTTTGCATGCCGTCTTGTAGATCTTGCTTTGCTCTATCGAATGGTACTTCAATCTGATGTATATGCGTTAGTTTTCATGAAATAGCAGATCTGGTTCGAAATGTCCCAGAACTTTCGAGCCAACCTAATATTATATGCTGCCAAGAGGGTGGGCGGTGCCTTTAAGCTCTTTGTATTCATTCCTGTACTACTTGCTTTGAGCTACACTACGAGATAATTTGAATAAGTTATCACTGACCATAAAGAAAACTTTTGTTATAAAGGAGGTAGAAAAGGATGTTTTGGTCAATCCTGACAATAGCCAGATCTGCAAGAGGTTCATAATTGCTTCAATAAAACTTCATTTTGGAAAAGGCCTTCTCTGGTAAATTTTGGTCGTTCTATACCGTTTCAGTAATGATTACAGATTCGACATCAAGCTGTGACTACTTTTCTTTTTCATTAATACATGAGGTGGTCCTAATGAGGACAAGATAGGTTCGGCCAGAATATGTGCAAGTATCGTGTCCTTCTTGTGCGACAAAAAGCTATAGTGTTTTGTATAAGGTTCAAGGTTTGGAATTCTTAACCGAGGCAAGAAGACCCTAAAGCAACCACAATTTTTCTCTCTCTCTCTCCCCCCCCCCCCCTCCCCCCGCCACTTCCGGTTATCCACCAGTACGACCTCAGGTCGAGTGCTCGAATCCACGCTTGTAATATGTAGTCAGTCTCATTTTTTCTTACCTGAGGACAGATCCTCTAGAAGGTGCTGGCGAAAGAATGTTTAAACGTCTCCGCTTTCGCAGTAATTTCTTAATTTCATAATTTCGTGATAATGATTTCGTCATTTGAAGCTGCACTAACTCAAGACTGGAAATATCAGGCACATACCTTCATACGATTTCGTGTGATCTCGTTCTCCATTTGCTTAGCAGGCGTCCATCTTGCTGCTTCCTCACTTGAAGCAGTTGTCCTGGAGTATATATAATACGATGGAATCGTATGTTTATGAAATACTGCGCACGACTACTGTTTCGTCGTTTAACAGTGTCAGTGTCTTGGAGAAAAGAGGTGTTTTTCTGAGCGTTGACGAAGGCCAAAAAGCGCAGTTTCTCCAAATTGTCAAAGGAGCGCAAGACAACTACAGAAAAGCTCAAACTGCTTTCCAGAATAGAGGTTTCTAGTAGTACAGCCGACCGCTTGACACACATTGTGTGTCAAGGCTTGACACACTATGCGTATCGTTGAATTGGCTACTATTTCGTAGCAAACCCACTCCGGGAGTTTTCTTTTGTGCTGGACCTGGACACAACCTTCACTGTTTTCGCCAGCATTTCAGAGTTACTGTAGGTATACTGTAGATGAAGTTGCGCGTGATTTTATCAAAAAAAATGTTGACTGGTCCGTGAAACGCCTTGGTCGTCAATTTGTTAAAATTCTAACAAAAGTTTAATAAGCAATGTGAGATCCGCGGAGATCGCGTTTGAATAAAATAACTGCTGCAGTTTTACAAATCGTAGACAAATGCTATTTTTTCCAATAAGTAGTAATTTTAAAATCGGTTCCAAAAACACTAGCATTAGTTGACGCGCCCTTCACTGGTTTGATTTAAGAAAGGTTGTGAGGACTGCCTCTTTCATCATGCGCTTCATCAGTTTTCTTTAAAACTAAACGTTTTTTTCAATATTAATTTTGCAATATTTTGTAAAAGCTACTGCATGACGAAGGCGCAGAAGCAGTATCAGTTGTGCGGGCGCCAACGCGGGGCGCGCTCCTCGTCTTTGTGAATCTGGCGCTTTATGCGCTCTGCGGCTAATAAAGCCGCGTTCACGCTCAAAGATACTGCAGCAGCCTATACGTCCTCTGATCATAAATCCTGGCTATTTTTTTGAATCATAGGATTTTTTATAAGCCACGCAGTTTTGTTAAAATATTTGTTCAGCCTAACGTTGCGACAGTAATGCATTCCTTGAAACGTAGAAAAAAGTCTCGCGTTGCCTTTCTATTCTACACCAATAGATTTCTCAATTTTGAATGTCCACAGGGTAGTGTGGAGCAAGGCGTGAGCGAGGAGGCCGCTAGCTGAGCTGCTGGAGCTGTAACGTTTTATTGAGACAGTATACAAGTTAAAAAATAAGTTGGCTTAACTTTTGACGTCCGTCATTTCTCGTATCGTACCTCGAAGATCGTTCACATCGTCTTTGGGCATTAATAACAGAGGTAGAAATAGCATCATTTCTGCAGCTCTTGTTTTCCTGAATTCGTTGAGCAATTGTGAAGTGCGCGCAAAAGATGTTACATAAAACATGCTCTTGTTTTCTTGATCCAGTGTTCATCTTCAAATTCATTGTTATTGTGCATGCCATTATCATGCCGTAGGATGAAAGTGTGGCGTTTTCGTTGCTAAATTGTTGTTCATATTATCTATGATATGAAGAAGTAGGTATAACTCCTGGCCAACGCTCCTTAGACACTGGGGAACTGGATAACTACGGGCATTCGCGGCTTCCACGAGCCGGGCCGAGATATCGCTGTATCAGAAGGTCCTAGGGTCACCCGATATAGTGCGACCCACCGCGTTCCTTGGTGCAAAATTATAAAAGATAGAGGATTCGGCGTCTTCAATACCTCTGTCGCCATGCGCCAAACGCATCCTACTTCGTGATCTGGGGGAATTTAATGCGTGCAAGCCTTTCAGTGAACTTGCGGGGGCCAGCCGAGATCAGTACTTTTGCCCCCCCCCCCCAGATTACTCAAGTACCAATCTATCATAAACGCAGATAGCGGATTGGCTCAAGGGCGCCATCAAACCTTGCTCCGATCTGTTCAAAGCGGAGCGTCATACCACTACGCCATTCCCCAGTCTCTCTTGCAATTGCATTATAATACACTAAACGAACCGCGCGCTCAACTTGAGCGGCGGCCAACCGATGCCCTTAATCAATTTACTGCAACTATCCAACCTCTGGCCGGCCGGCGGGAGCTGCGAATACCCAGCTACAATATCTCGATGCAGTGGATTAAGAATGCTGCTCGTCCCTCTCAGGTCTGACAAGGGAAGAATACTAACTTAGATTCGCCTTTTGAGATAAGACAAGCAGTTTCCAAATATGTTGTTTTTAGCTGCTGAATTTTAGTCTGTAACGAGTTGTGGTCTCTTTTTTACACAAATTTTGCGTGCTCATCGACTTGTGCTACGGTTTCAACATCTAATTGGTTTGTAATTGCATAATGCTCCCTTTCAAAATCGAAAAACTCAATCTGATGCTCATCCAACAATCCAGCACTTTCTTCGAACAGATTTCTATCTACAGGCCGTTCCAGCATAAAAGTATGACAATTACTTACAACAGCAAGCTTATAACTCGCTTCAAAAAGACGCTAGGCAGTCAAGAACAGCATTTGGAATCAGCGTTCCAAGCTGATTCAGAATATATGTGTCACTTCTCAAAAATTAGTATCCTTCTCACAATCAGATGAGTTGCGTCTCTATTGAAGTTTGTAAAAATCAGTATTATCTCCTGAATCTACGAGATGCACACAGCTATATATTTTGTTTCGTACAGCGCTACCTCGCTAAAACTGAATTTTGGACAAAGCAGGTGTTGTACGCTTAACGTCTATCTCTTGTAGTAAAACTGACCACCAGTAGGAAACGCGAACTAAGAGTCGCTAGCTATGAAGAATCTTTCCTCTTGTTGCGGCTCCGCGATGCGAGCGCTCCTAAAAGTAAGAGATCGGGAGCACTGGTTGCTGCCGCGCTATCCGGCGACGATTACGGTACTTTCCCACGCTTGCCGCAATCGCCGCTGGATCTCTCCTCGCCTTAGCGCGTTGCCAGCCAAAAGGCTATATATAGCGGCGGCGCCTCATTTCAGTGCCTGTCTGCCTCGTTTTCGATCAATAATCTTTTCGCATGTTCTGTTGTGCTCGCGTCTGGCAGTTAGCTCCTGCCTTTGATGCCTCTTTCGCGTTAGCGGTTGAGCGGATCGGAAGTTGGATTGGATTGGAATTCAAGTCTGATATGGGAATGTTTTGTATGAGCTACTTTGGAACCTTTGGGACTTAAGATCGGAGTTTGGGAGCGGAGAGGTGTCGCGCCTGGTATCGGCGACGCGTGGCGCATCTGTATAAGTGAAGCCTCGGAAGCATAATTGTTATCTGTGTTTGTAGACGCGCAACATCGGTAGCACGGAACGGGGCACCCTGTCCCGTGTTGGAAGTTTTCTTCTTTTAGTTGTAGTTTTAGTAATAAAGTTTTCTTGTAATTTGAGTCATTAGGATAAACTGTAAGTAATTTGATATTGTTTCTTACGCACTAGGGTTAGGTTGGCCGCATGTAATAAGCGGGCGAGCTCTCCAGGTCTCGGGTAAAGTCTGAGTGCTTAGGGCCCACCCACCGAGCCGCCACACCTCTTCTTTAGTGTTTGTCAAATACTGTGTAGTGTTTGTGGCTTGGCTAGTTTTGAATTCATGTCCCGCTTTCTAGTTACTCTAAGGCTTTCAATCTTTGTTGCATTTTAGAGTGTGGTATTCAATATCATTAGTGAACATCGACTGCTTTGTGTAACTCGGTGCAAAACGGAGAGGATCTATCTCCCTTTTTCACTGCACGCGCCAACGATCTACGTTGAGGTTGCAGAGAATATAAGATATGATCAACAGGCGACTGGTCCGCGAAGAATCATCAAGGGTCTCTTAAAAATGGACGTCCAACAAACACTTCAGGCGATTGAAGGGGAAATATAACGCTTTTTTGTGTTTAATCTTCTCAGGTGAAGTCTGCATGCGGTCTCTGACATTTTGACCTCAATTTGGCTTTCGTAATCAACCAAGGGGACTTTGGTCCGGCATGTTGGTTTGAAGCATTTTTGAAAACGAAGTGCAATGATTCTCAAAACATAAGTCTCCTTTGACGTCAAAGTTAGTAGGAGAACCTTTCTTCAATCAACATAACAATACGGAAGCCAAAAAAGCATATTTTTGTTGTGGATACAACAATCCCACAATGGTCAGCCGTCTCAACTTGACGTGGGGTAACATTGTGTGCCAAATGGCAATGTACAGCCGAGTGTATACTCTGACAGGGTGTCCCAAGCTGTGAAAGATTTTAATGTTTCTGGTTTTGGGCACATGCCTAGCTAAAAGCCGGAAGGATCAGTCACCGCCTTTTGGCTTTTCTCATCGCCAAGCGGTCTCCGCTCTACATCTAAAGTTGGAAATCAAGAGTAGGCCTAGTAAGTCTGCTTGCAGGAAAAAGTCTTCTTACCCGTTCAAGAATAAGTTAAATAAACTCTGCACATTGGATTCCGCCTACGACCTCGCGTTGTAACAAGAACGTTGTCAGAGTCCTCAGAGCGTCTTTTGGATTGTATAAAAAGCGACACGTTTGCCCGGAAGACCACATGAAGACTATCTCATTGCTGTGCACCTGCAACGTTAGCACAATGTCATTAATGCCGACCTCCACGCTGTTTCGACGCTGTGGAGCACATCAAGTACCACGTCATCGCTCTGCAGAAGACGAAGTCTAAGAAGAAGAGATACAGATAAGTGATGGGACCTTTTGTGGTGAGAAAGTTTTATCACTAAATGTTGGAGTCTTGGCTTTGTCGCCCAAACATCTATGGTCACCTTGTCAATTCGCATGGGATTCTGTCACCTTGACCAAATCCTACAATTGCGACCTCCACATCAGAAGACCATCGGCATCATAACAGCTACTCCGCAACATCAGCACTGACAAACTGGACCTAGATGCTTTCTACGAAGACATGGAGACTCGCCCAATGAGAAGTCCTGATTCGTCTTGGGCGACTCCAACGCCGAAAAGTGGAAGCCACTAAAAGAGGAACATAGGATCGGAAAGTTCGGATACGGACTCTAGAACGAAATGAAAAGAGCAACCATCTCGTTGACCTTCTCTCCACCGCACGTTTTTTTTTCAGGGAACTATCTTTATAAACTCAACAGAACAGCTCACGCGGAGATCGACCACTTTCTCAATAATGGAAGGTGGAATTTGCTTGATGTTTCGTCCTTCTGCCGTGGCTGAGGTCACCGCCTCCTTCAAACGAAGGTACAATTTAGTCGAAAGCTGAAGGAAGGTCTGCAACAGTGCCACAAGAAGGAAAGAGGTTCTTTATGACGGAAACAGATTGAGAAATCTTATATCAAGCTGTGACTGGTCCATAGAAAAGGACCCAGCATATGACTGCAATCAATTGGCTTTTGAGAGGACTGCGAGCTCGCGGAAGTGCGTCTTAGTGGCTTCTAAGGGGAACTTGAAAAAAAACATTCTAAAAACATTCTGAAAAACAAAAAAACGTTCTAAAGACCATCTAATCGCAGAAAGAAGAAAATTTTTCAGGCAAAATTTAATGCAACCCATCTCGAGCTATTGATAGCCAACGCCAATTGCAGAATAGTTTCGCAAGAAGATCTCAAAAGTATATGGCAAGGCAATGTACTGAAAGCAGCCGAGAAGACGAAGTTTTAAGAAGTGCCGAAGGGATTTCTGCAAACAGCGCATCTACTGATGCACCATTGAACGAAGACGGGAGCACTTCAAATTCTTCCTAATACAGGGTGATCTATCGCGAAGAACTTCTGCACTGACCTCTTCCACTCATCGACATCCGTGCCGAGGCCCGTTGTTCCCACTGGACAATACCACCAAGATTCTACCTGCGAAAATGCGCACCGCGATTCAGACCATGAAGATGTGTATGGCTCCAGGACCAGAACATCGGCAATTTCCGTCGAAATTCTGCGAGCCGGAGGAAAACCTTACCTTGACGAGGTTTTCGCGACGCATCTAACCTCTTACCTTCAGGAGAAAAGGATTCTCTATCAACGGAGAAACTTCAAGAACCGTCCCTCTTTCCAGAAGGGCGAACGAAAGGATCTTTGGAGCTCCAGTATTCCTGCTGATTATGCTCTACAAAGTTTTCACGAAGATTACCCTCGCTCACATATCCAAGGCATTGCATGAAACTCAGTCTTAGAAACAAGCTGGATTTCGCAAAGGATTCAGCTGCATGGACCGCATGCTGATCGTTTTGAGGGTCATAGAAGTCTGTAGATACCGACTACCTCGCGTTTTAACCTTCGTCGACTACAAAAAAGCCTTCAAAAGGTCGAAACCAAAACTCACTTGTCAGCTAATCGATTAAAGAGTGGACCCAATTCTACGCGAGACATAGCTGCTACTAAGATTGTACAATGACGATGCAGCTATTTTATCGTCGTAACACCATCGGAGGTCTAACAGAAGACAGAATCTCGCCGAAGCCGTTCACCGCGGCCCTGCAGTGGTCGAAGTCAATGGATTGGGACGGAGGCAAGATTGGATAACGAATAAATTGGAAGATTATTAAATTCACAAAGAACGCTTTTTGCGAAGGTGCGGAGGATATGGAAGGCAACCCCATCATGAAGGCGTCTTCTTATCTGTTGGACAAGCGATGATCATTGAAAACGGCTTGAGGAAAGAGTTTAGCGCAAGAAAAAAGGCAGCATGGGCCGCTTACGGCCTTTCAAGGAAGCCACCGGCCAAGTTACGGATGCGGAGCTTCGAGCCCACCTGTTCAACTCAACGGTCCTCTCGGCGCTTTGTTACGCAGGTGAGTCTTAGCCCGACAGAGTAGTCACGTCGAAAGCTTTACGAACCACCCACAGAGCCCTAATGCGCAGCCCTCTGAAAGTGTTCCGACACAAACAACATCTTGTTGGACTTCGCAGTACGGATATGCGAAAAATTTCCCATCTAGGTGACCTAGTAGAATATGTGGCGGAAGCATGAATGGGCGGTCACATCATGAGAAGGACAGACGACAGATGGACAATAAGAACATTAGAGTATATTCCTCGCAAAACCGAACATCCCCGAGGAAGACCACTAATGTGCAGTACGCTCTTGGAACGGAAGGTCCAGTTTGGAAATCAGCTGGACACGACTTTTGCACTTGGCAGCTCGTGGACGCAGGCCCTGACGACGATTAAGAAGTGGAGATCTGGAGCTAGGGAGAGACCATTGCAAACTTTCATGCTGGTGCTCGCACGCTAAGTGAAGACGGGCCATCTAAGTATCTAATTGTAAGTAAGTAATACAACAAAGGGAAAAAAACATATTTTGAGGTATGTAATGATTGAAGGCACCCACCCAGATTCTCGGCTTTCACGTTTTTGTCGTTCCTGGGCCTTCACATGTCTCCTAATACGGAACATGAAGTCGGCAATCCATGGAAACTCCCACAATCCTCTTTCTGGAAAGCGCGCGCGGCGGGTTCTCTGAATGGCGATTGGATGCGTAAGCACGAATGGAAGGGCATTACTGAAGGGAACCTTGCGCCTAACGCGTTCCGCTTTGCTCGTTACCTGAAGCTCTTTTCTCGTTTCCGAAGCACAAGTTGCACCGCTTTCCTACTATCGTAAGCTGCCAAGTCTCGAGACCTCGGAAGGTAGTGTCTGGGCGAAAAGTCGATTTTGGGATTTTGTTCCTACTCGGGCCTGTTCGCTATGCTGAATTCGAAAATACATATAGGATAGCGCGAAAACGGCCAAAAGGGGTTTTGAAGCAGAAGGGAAATCAGCAGGGGGGGGGGGGTTTCCCCACTGCGAATTCATGTTCCCAGCTTACTTAGCGATCTTCTCGGTTCCGGCTTTGGGTCACGCGTTGCGTTCGCACTTGGACGAGAAATGTTAGGGCGGCTAGCGGAATCGAGAGATCGCTCCGGGAGCTAAGAGCGTGATATCACACTGAGGAAGAACCTGCCCACGGCTGATGTCTCTCCTGCGTTAGAGCCCTTTTTTCGTTTTCGAACTCTCCATCCTAAATTTTCGGATTCAGCATAGCGAATAGGCCGAAGTAAGCGCAATATCTCAAAATCGACTTTTTGCCCGGACACTGCCTTTAAACTTGGAGGTGGACGGTGTCTGCAAAGGCAATGTCCTGCCAAAAACTCGATCTGGATTGTGCTTACCCGGGCCTATTCGCTACGTTGAATCCGAAAATGCATACTGGAGAGAGCGAAAACGGCGAGAAACGGCTCAACACAGGAGGGAAATCAGGTGGTGGGCGGGATCCTCTCCACTGCGAATTCACGCTCCCAGCTTCCGAAGCGTCTTCTCGCTTCCGGTTTCAGGTCAATCATTCGTACTTGGCCATTAGCGTTGTTAAGACCGATAGCGGAATCGAGAAGACTGCTTCGGAAGCTGGGAGCGTGACATCACAGCGGGGAGGACCCCGCCCACTTGCTGTTTCCCTCCTGCGCTAGAGCCCTTTTCTGCTGTTTTCGAGCTTTCCAGTGTGGATTTTTGGATTCAGCATAGCGAATAGGCCCAGGTAGGCACAAAATCTCAAAATCGAGGTTTTGCCCGGACACTGCCTTTAAGGGCTCTGCTGGTGTTCAGCATGTCGAAATCCTCTTATGCCATCTCAAACTTAAATTACTGCTTTTTCATTTCTTTTGTTCTATCTCCGAGTTTGCTCGGCAAAATCTTTGAACGATCATTATCAGTTTTTCTATGGTGGCCCATATCAAAGATGGCCGGTCCATGCAAACAATGTTGCCGCGGGCTAGTTATCGAACCCTTACAAAAGGCAGGATGTTCTTTCGTTGCAAAAGCGCATGTTCAAAAAGTTCCACTGAAATCGAAGGCAGGACTGGTGTTGGTCTGTGGCGCCTCAGAATCAACTTAGGCCCCGCTCGGGTAACTTGAAATGACGATTTACTACGGAGTAACGTCTGAGATCAGCAACCAACATAATCTGAACAAATAACCTGCTGACTCTTTTTTTTTGAAGAGTTTTGGATCTATATGGCGAATTTCAAAGGATCGTGCTATGCGTACCCGCAGCGTTTCAAAGTGCCAAAAATTCCCCATCCTCGAAGAAAGGCTGGATAAAAGTGAAGAGCTTGAGGTATGCCATACTCTACCAGACCCCTTAACCAAACCAATACCGAAGTGCGAAAGTGCAACTTGACAGACGGAAAAACGCTCTAATGCTCCTTTTGCTCTTTCAAACGCCTCTGCGTGCTCCACCCGGCCGCTCACGATAACCAGGGAGCTTTGAAACCCCAGCACTCCGCTTCTTCACATTATATGTCTCGCCACCTCAAACTCTTACTCCCTCTCCCGCGCTTACTTTCAGTTGTGTGAAGAATGTGCTATGACTCTTCAAACGCTACAGATCTCGTGTCCGGTTCGAAAACGGTAAGGCTCTAAAGAGACAGACGCTATACGCCGCCGATTGCCCCGACTTTGTCATCGGTCCCAACTGCGTACTTTTTATTTCTATGTTACTTTTTATTTGAATGTTATGGTTACCTCAATACTTTGTCTTTAAACACAAGAATTTGTTGTTCTGTTGGAACATCGCTTATTATAGATATGATCCTTTTGAGTTTTCCGACTGTGGCGTCTGCAGGTACAGTGATTGTTACCTTGAATCAGTCACTGTGTTACATAGGTGGTATCATGTACAAAGACCAAGCTTCCTTACATCTTTCAAACCAGCCATAACGCTGTGTACAGTTATTTGTATAGGAGCGCTACCAATATTTTCATCATCAAGCTTCGGTGGTGATAATGATGACTCGTCTAAAAAATTTTTTCATTGTACCATAAATATTCAGGTGTCGCCGGCGTCCAACCCCTTTTCGGTTCTGGACTCCGAGACATGTAGAACGGCAGCGCTCGAACACGAATGCAAAAAGAATAAGGCACTCTAGCAAATAATATGGACATAATAAATATCAATAACATTGCCGACCAGTTCTGAACATAAACAAGCTAGATCATTTGAAAGACAGAATTTTGCATAATGGTGCTCAGTCACTTTATAGTTCAAATAAGGAAAGACTTGTAAAAACTTCAACGATAGGTCATTTTTAGGCTAAAAAGGTTTTTTTTTGAAATCTACGTAGATGAGCAATTTGTAGCACAAGTCCCCCCAGCAAAACCTTCAGAAAGAATATTTGCTTTGACTGTTGATTTCACGTCGATAGGAAGGAAAGGAAAATTTCCACGACTTTCGCTGTCTTTCCAGTTACGGAATCACATGATGAACAAACTCGAACACGAAACTTTTTGCGATAAACTAGAAAAAAAGAGGCTTTTTACATAATGTGAGCAATATTTACGAAAAATAGTTTATTCGCTCCAAAATTGAGAGATCAATATGAGGAAAAACGGAACTTTTGAAGCAATCCAATATCATAAGTAACTCTGCGTGGCTGCCTTAACCACTGGACTAATGTTAAGAAAATTGTTGCGTAATACTCAAAAATAATTTAGGTATGACTTATAATAAAGCGCTAAGCGTATGTCTATTTGTCTTTCTGCGTGTATGTCTGTTTGTACGAAATTGGTAGAGCGAGTTGCAATCAACTTCTCGAGCCACAGTTTCGCACAACTTACGGTACCAGCATGTAGGTCCACCATGCTTGAGAACGAGCCGGTCCGATACTCGCATCCTTCAAAAATCGGTTGTTAACCGGTTCCCGCGGATTTAAACCCACACAACTGGGCGTACTCATATATTTTGCAAGTGATGATTTAGTTTGAAAAGCAAATCCGCAAGCCATTAATTTTGCTTCAAAAATGGTCAGAAATCTATTTTTTCGCAAAAATGGTGCCAAGAAAGAATGATCGGGTAGATTGCAATTTGTCAGGGTTTTACTCAAGTAACTGAGAAAATTATCGCTTAAAAATGTACCCCACGGTAAGTCCTTATGGCATAACCAAGCTAAAACAAATTCGTTAGCTAAATCATATTCGGATTTGTTCTTCTGCAAAAAAAGCTGCTCTACCCAAAGCCACCGATTTTACATGGAAGAATCCAGAAAATGTGTCAATGTTTACTATTCATTCGCGATAGTAAACAAATTGCGGTAAGTTTCAAAGCGATCATGATGCGAGAATGAGGAAAGATATGTAGAAAAATAGAAACAATGCTAACCTTTGGGAATCAGAAGTGTCGTTCTGGTTACCCATATAACGCTTCGAAGGAAATAGCTGATATTTATTTGTACAATTCTAAACAAACACAATAAATATAGTGAGAGCATTTCTCTTGCAATTCATGCACTTTTCGTCTTGTAACCATCTTCAACAAGCATAGATGGGGTTATATTATTTGTCAATTTTTTTGCGGATTTTGCGCTGGCAGCTCCTTTCTGTGCACCGTAACCAGCCATTAAAAAATCTACTCCAGGTCTGCTTATCGATCGATAGGCATCGTTTGCATTGTTGCTATTGTATCCCGTGAAATCCAAAGTTGAGTAGGGGTTTTGATATCCACTATTATGGTACCCAGTTGGTTGATAGGAGCTCCCACCAGAAGTGAACGTCTGGCTTGGAGTATAGCCTGATCCATAGTCCGAAGTGGATCCAGGATTACTGTATTCTTGACCGGATATTTGCGAAGAACCTGTTCCATGCTGGTATCCGTCAATAAAGCTACCGTAGTCATCTATGTAGTCACTACCGTAATAAGTGCTACCTTGTTGTCCACCGTAGATTGGTGTTTCATAGTTGTGTGTTTTGTACGAACTCATTGGTTTACTGTAGCCAGAGGTGTATCCACCAATCTGAGTATTTACTCCACTGTAGCCAACTAACAAGTCGGTACCATATGATGAGCCACTGCCAGTACCGTAGCCATAGTCTTGACTACCATAGCCATTCATAGGCATTTGCTCTACTTTCAATCCACTGTAGTCAGAGTTTGTCTGATCGTAGTTATCCTTATTCCCTGCATACTGCGATAGTTGCCAGGTGGTTGGTTTGATTTGAATTTGAGGCTGCCAATTTTCCATTTTGAAAGATCCATAGCTTTGAGAAGGCCAGGAACTTCCTAATGTGGAAGTAGTTGATTGTCGAGTTGTTCCATAGCCCGAATAAGGGGTCCCGTAAGTTTCCTGCTGTAGGGGCTCGTAATTTTGATCACTACCACCCTGATAAGCTGCCCCATACGGATTTTGCATACTGTATCCGTTATAATCTCCGTTATAAGAAGAATAGGTGGCGAAAGTGTTGGGTTGTTCAAAGGAAGGTGGTCCTACAACGAAATACTGGAACTATCGTTTTCCTTCAGAATAAATCACTATTACCGTAATTGTAATCGGAGCTGCCATACTGTCCTTGATCTGTGACCGGTTGTTGCCAAGATTGGCTCTTGACGCTATCAATACTTCCTAGATTCTATTTTTCAATTTCTTACGTGAAGGAGAAGTGACAGTAACCCTACCATAGCTTCCGAATGTATGCTTCCTTGTACTCGGTTTTGTCAACGCTCCTACATAATTTGGTTGTACAGCTGTTGATTCGTGTGTGTCTGGGATTCCACGGTATCCGCTGCAATCAAGGATATTTTCAAAAAATCTAGTTGGTTTCAAGAGTTCTTACCTAAGATACGGTTCTCCTGTAAGTGTTGTTTGTGGTCCATAGACGGTATATATACTTGAGCCGGTCCCCGACGGTGTTCTTGCAAAAGCTCCTGTAAGAATTCGAGAGCTATTGAGATTATGTAGGAGCATCATGTGTTGAAGCGTGTGAAAATTCCTTTTTATATTTTAAACGATAGAAAATCAAGATACTATCATCAAAGCTCAAAAATACGCCAGAGAAACAAACTGAATAAAAAGGTCGGAGATAATTTAGAGGACGAGGCATACATCACGCGATGATCGCCTCGGGATCCTCTCTACAAGACAACTGTTACTAGTACACTGCTTGCATTTCCGCATCTCGGTTGTGACATTTATTCGCGGCTAGTCGCGTCGGAAATCTATCACGAAAGAATTGCAAGGATCGGCACTCGAATAACTCGTAACAGTTGTCTCGTCAGAAAAACCAAGAGGCGATGAAATTGCCTAGTATGCAAGGCCCTTATACGTCATAATTTTGCGAATGTCATGTCTACTACACGCTCTTTTCTCGCCTACATCAAGGTATATGTCGTGTGTCGTCTAATCTTGATTAGCAAAACCTGTTTTAGAATTAGCTAGTTGACCCAGAGGTATTTTCAGGCTTCAAGGCTGAGTAAATATGAGGGGAAAGAGTAATGCGCAAGGAGTCTAAGAGCATTCAAAAGACCATGTCTAAAGTAAATTCACCAAAAAAACTCGAACTGTTATTGCCGTAAAAGTTTTCTTGAATAGATATTCTTATGTACGGGATTAAAAAAATCAAATTCCTACCATTTGCATTACTCGTGAGATCGGGCGAGATGAGCAGTTTTTGCATTTGGTCATTGACCCCACTGACTACACCAGTTGTCTCAAATTAATCGCATTGTTTAATGAGCGAAAAAAGTTCCCTATTGACTGGATACATTACCTGCTGTCGTCGAGCTTGCAGTGTATTCGATTTTATTTTGGATCGAATTCGAGATACAACCGGGAACGTAGCCATCAAAGAGCCCTGATCGTGAGCTATGCGTGGGGAATCTAAACAATCATTTTCTTAGTTTCGAAGCAGGAGCATTTTTTCTTTTTGACATAATGTTTCTTATATCATTGGCATTGCGAATCTGGTAATGGAGTAAGACGAAAAACTTACAATGGTGGGGGAACGGACTCCGCCAGTTTAAGCCGCCTCCGCGGACCACTGGTCCTGCAACGACATGCAACAACGTTGCAAAAGGAGCATTCGCCAGCGAAGGTGGTCTAAACTGGCGGAGTTCGTTCCCCTAGGCACTTACAATAATCGAAGGTGCATTTCAGCCATTTTCGAAAGAAATCAGAATCAAATCAAAAATGTTAGGAAGTAGATAAATAAGCAAAGTAAAAAATGTAAAATGTTCAGTTAAAATCTCACCTCGAGTAATTTTGGTACCATTATTTGTGATGACATCGTCTTCGCTTCCAGGTCTCTCTTCTTTAGAAGGAGTTGTTGTTGTTGTGCAGTGTGCTACCGCTACCAAGATGACAATACATCCAAATCTCATGGTTACCAGTTATCTGCAATCGACATTATTCTAAAAAGCAAAAAAGACACATGTGGTAATAATCGATTTTTCAGCTACCCGGAAAGCGTCGTCTTTTATTTCGCTAAATATGAATTAAGTTCCTCTAAACCATGAGATGCCTCAATCCATGAAATACGATTTCACATTTAGTATGCTTTAGAGATGAAGCTTTAGCATTTGTCTGTTTTTTCTTTTCACTTTTAAAGAGATTCAACTTTTATTGGTGTTGTCCGAATACGAATTAATTTTTTAGTTAGAAGGTACTAGTCAAGATGTAAGTCATTGAAGAAGCAATAAACAATAACATACTCAGTTTTAACATTTTTTTTGGAAATAGTTGCTGCCAATAAAAATAAACTAACACAAACTAAAAAACCTGCAAAATGAACAGAATGAGATTTTCACCTGTGTAATCTTTGTAAAGTTTGTATAATTTCACGACAATGCGTCACGATTCTGATAAAAAGTAGTCAGATCAAATAATTGATGAAACTAGCAAACTAGGACATATTTACTTGCAGCAGTAGTGCCCTCAAGCGTATATTGAATCTGGACAGGAAATGTTTCAGAATGTTTATCATAGAAAACTAAAACTTCCTTCAAAGTGGGTGATTAGCTTGCAACTTTTACGCCAAATAGCCACATGGATATATTTAAAAAATTTTATGACACAAATGCGAAAGACAAAACAGAAATTTTTTCTGCCAATCCTGCGTTTTTCAGAGATCTAGCATGCATCGAAAATTTCTGAAGTGCAATAATTTAAATCATAAACGGAGTTTGGCAGGGAACATGATTCTTTTATTTTAATTTTCAGGATTGTTACATAGAAAGCTTGAGCATGTAGCCTAAATATTCTGACAAAAACAAGCACAACGAGAAACTTAACAGAATTACCAGCAGATTTGTCACTTCGTCTCAATCTCAAACTCCTTTCATAATTCTTCTTGCTAAACAAGCATTTCTAGGCTAAAGTATCTGAAGTAGAAAAGTGCAAAATGCAAACTGCAGAGATCAGGCTTTGATTTCCTCTTGGCTGTGAGCCTAGTCAAATGTCGAAATCAAAAACTAGTAGCGGAAGCGTAGGATTTCAATAATCGCATCGCGGATTTGAAAGCGGATAAAAATGAAAATTTCGCCACGCACCGGTCTACGCAAGTGGTCCGGCCTCCGGCGGTGTCTTTGTCTTCAGCAATACGAGGTGTCAAGCCGTGCAAATATATGTGCTCGACATGTAGATGTGTACATTCTGGACCACCATATCGGCGTTTTTCAGCTGATTGCGGGCTAGAAAAACTGAAAATAAACGCAATGCAGGTTCTTGTGATTGCACTCCGATAACAAGCCAGCAAACATTAGCATCCCCAGATTTCATGTGTTTTGATCAACATGTATACCACTCACACAATCAGAATGAATAGCACATTTCGTCAGAGTTTTGGGAAAGCCCCATACTCGGCAACGCAAAGATGGCTCATAAGCCCACACTTTCAATATTTTCAACGAATAAACCATTTCGTCCTTGGAGCATATCACCTATGAAATGAACTTTCACTCAACTAGGTCTTTGAAAGAGTAAACTTTGGCAAAATCGCTGACAAGCCGCTATAGCCTTTTTATTGCTTGATTGTTTCTTATTCGAATTCTTGTCTTCTGTGCTTTGAACACACAGTTAGTCAGTTTTCGAAGTAGCAAGCGTTTTGATGACCCCATAAATTTCTGAGGAACCCACAAAATAATAAAATTTCAAAAATAAGTTCTACATTATGTTCACACAAGTTGAATCAGTCCTGACTGACTTCGAGAAGTAAGCGAGTTTTTGAGAAAGTTGAATGAAACATATAACTTTAATGAAATATCCTTGACGAAGAAATGGAACAGCTCGAGAGTTAATCGCTAAATTTGGTGCATAGGACTGAATCTTTGTGCCTTTGTTCTTGATTATACTTTCATAAGTTAACACTATCTAGTCTTTGACAGTTTTTTGACTGTTTACTGAATTCCATTGAAATTTGATAATAACTATAACTCTAAATTAGTTTTTTACTACAATTTGACTTGAAAGAATACTACCCGATATTTACCAAGTCAAACTATTGCTGAGAAAACCGAATTATACTATAATAACTTCAAGAATAGCTTAAAGTCAAGTAGCTACATCAAAATGGCTATTGTTGCTCTTTCTGACATCTGCAATGCGAAGCAAAAGAGTTGACGAGAGTGGGATTCGAACCCACGCCTCCGAAGAGACTGGTGCCTAAAACCAGCGCCTTAGACCGCTCGGCCATCTCGCCATGAAGCAATGCAGTTAAGAGACGTCCACAAACAAACTTTAGTCGGTGAAGGAAATCAAAGCATAATGATCGATCTAAGATGCTTTGATTACTTTTTTATCCAAAGACCAGTCAGTTTTGCCACTTTTCGAAAAAAAAAATTCAAGCTTCTTCACTATTGTTTTCGTAATGAAAAATTTTCATTACGAAAACAAAAAGATTTTCAAACAGGACGAAAAAATATGTTGTTACGAGCAAACAAACCTAGACTCGGTTCACAATTTTTCAGTTAACAAACTTTTCAGCTGTTCGTAGTGACGCAAACAAACATCCACCAGACAGAGTAAACATACATAAATGCACTTTAGGAATGCAGCTTAATTGACGCCAATAAACATTTTGTCGGTGAATCGGTGAATGCAACAATGATGTCAATAACTTTATCTTTTATTACCAAACAATTTCATGCAGTTTTTATAAGAAATTTTATTTTTAAGTATCATCCCAGTTTATTCTCATCATCATTTCTTTTATTATTTTGTTCATTACTCTCCCGTAAATAATGCCTAGTCAACCTTTACAACTATTTTTTTGTTTACTAGATCACAAATGAATTAACCAGCAAAGAAACAGGAGGCCATGAAAGAAAAAAGAATTATAAATTAAAAGCATGCTAGCTTAACACCCTCATGAACTACAACCGCCACGGTAAAAGGAAAAATGACATTCAATTTTGGAAAATGTTAAGTGAGTTTTCAAAATTAAAAGTTTGAAAGAGAGGATTTTTTGGTTTATGTACGCTGGTGATGCTTAGACCTTCAAGATATGGAAGGTAAATAATTTTTTTCTACAGCTTACCTAGTCTCACAGACTAGATTAGCAAAGACTATTTTTCATTAATTCGATCTGCGAGAAGATTGCAAGCAAATTGATTCTAGTGAATTCGTTATAGTTTCAAGGAAAGGAAAACCAGATAAGTAACTACATTTTTGAAAATAGCTCCCATTTTGATATGGAAAATGGTGGATAACAAAATGGCGCAAAAACTAGAGATGATCAGATTGGTTCGCAAGGACGTACTAATGCCAGATTTTAATAGAAAATTTCAATAGCAATAAAAGTCGCATCGTTGGTGTGTAAAATACTCAACGTTTATAGGTCTTAGTAGTTTACATTTGCGGTCAAGTTTAACCTTTGGAAATGTTTCAGATATCCGGTTTGAGTTTAAGTGAATAAATGTTTGAGACTACAGATTTTGGAGTATAGTTTTCAACTTTTCCCATTAACTAGCAAAGTCTTGTATATAAATTTACAGCCGAGTTTGCTGGGTTTGTTTGTGCATCCGTTTAGCATAAAATCTATAGAAAAATTTCAGCTCTGATTTCCAATAGTTGCCAGTCCTTGTCAAAAATTCAAACTTAGTTCCGCCATTTTTTTTTGATTGAATTTTCAGTTGTAAACCAAAACAAAATTTATTTTTTCTTGACTTATAAATAAATATTCCTCCCTGTGTTCCTGGATCCTTCGCCTGTGATTCTCCAACCCTAGACAGAACGAGATGTGATTGATAGCTTTTGTAGCTTTCGGTAGCCGGTCAACAGATCATAATATGATGTTGACCGCTCACCGTTCAGATCAACCATGCTCAGATTGCATTGGAGTGAAGAAAGTTTCATCAAGCCGGAAGAAAAATCTCAGTCATATGAAGGAAGAAGCAAAAATTCTCCAGAGTTTTATGGCATTCACTTGAAAGCAGATTTTTAACTAATTTTTCTGTTCAAAACATTTATTTTGTCATAACCTGGTTAATATCGAAATTCAGTGTTGAAAATCGTGTCCCGATACATAACATACACTATTTCTTTACAAGGTTCTTTTTCCATACCATTTTTCAAAAATTCTTGAAAACTCAAGTTAGCTAATTTGGTACAATGGTCCTCGCTAGCGATCGCGTTGTTGAATTGCAGAACTTTTCACATTTGCAATTTGAGTTCAAATTCAAAAAATACTTTTTTCAGACTCCGCGCATCGTTTTGCTACTACTTTCGTTTCTTGCGCTCTTTTGTCCTGCATTCTTTTGCCTATAATAGTGCCTACCATCTTACCTTGTGCTTCAATTTTCAAGTATCCCAAAAAAGTGACTGCTAGAATGAGAATCATCACAGTGTCTCCGAAGATCTCAAGTGAAGGAAATCGTCAAAGTTTTGCATAGCTTACAAGATTTTGCAGAACCCCGACTAATTCCTTTCATTTACACGTTTTTTTTGCAGATTTGGTTGAAAATGCCTAGTTGAACTCTTTTCAAAGCTGAACTATTTCTATTATCAAATCATTTTGGTTATAAGAATTTTGGTTTCCATATCTCTCCTACTGTATCTCAGCTGACGTAGACTTTGGGCTTTTTTGAGGAATAGCCCCGCACCGTCCGCAGGACCCCAATTGTTTTGAAGTGAAGTGTTTGAAAATCTAAGAAATTTTATGATAAAAGTGAGACTGCTTGCTCACAAACTATGTTAAGATCAAAGTTATTTTCAGAAAATTTGGCGAAAGGGCCAGTTGTGTGGGACTTTTTTGATGCCTTCACCATATCGTCATCATATCTTGTGACGCACAGATTTTCATTTTAGCTGCTATACATGAATAAAGTGATTTTTAATTCTCCTTTCACCTTTTTTGAAAAATTCCTCGTTGTGCAGACAACTCTGGCAGAGTTCTTATACCACCTTAGGACTATGAAATCACTCGATCCCAAAATGTTTGACCTCTTGTCACCTACAGTAATCGAATTACCTAATTCAGGGCACCACCCGTTGTTTTGTCATCTGTACTAAACTGTACCAAACTCAAATAGTTCATCACATTTATTCTTCATATTCATGTTATGTATATGTATTCACATTTCGTCTCAAAAATCAACAAAATGTACATGCACACACAAGAAAAGCCAACAATATAGGAAAAACAATTCACACAAAAACACATACATATTATGCAATAGCACAACTACCGTATCATAATTCGTTGTGGAACCAGCAAATGTTGAAAGTAGTTGCGCCAAAAAGTGGTAAGCTGTACATGTACAACATGTCATCACCAAACAGTGAATGATATGTGATAAAGCATCAGAGGAAAGTAAATTCTACGGACTGGGAAATCTTATCTTAATTTGGGTGATCAGGGAGATATATAATAAAATGAAGCAGACTTTTACAATGGAGCATTATTATCCTGTACAACACAACGTATCTGGGGTAAGTATCGAGCAACGTCCATAATTTTTTGCGCTAACGACTAAATTTGTCGTGGGTCTGTCATAACTCAGGAAAGAGTAGTATTTTGCAGTCTACAATGCGACTAGTCATGTTAGTTGAAGGGGAAAGCAAGGCGACATAAGGCGATATTTGGCGACAACAGGCGATAATAAGCGATAATGGGCGATATTAAGCGATAGCGCAATTTCAAGCACGTATTTGACGTTCTCGACTCATGGCACGTCGTAAGGCGGTTAGGACCGCCGAATTTGGAGGAACAGCTCGCCGTCGGGTGGGTCGAAGCGGAGCTGCGGACCCGTGACAGACGGATTTCGTTTTTGCCGCATGGACCACTGCTTTAAGCTCGTCCGAGGAAGGTGCGGCCAACAGCGATGTTTTTGAAAAACGGGCTGGCGGGCTTGGACGAGGATCCCGTTGGTTCTGAAAAGAGTAAGCTTAGAAGGTTGTATCAATGGCTGAGGCAAGTTTGGGATTCTGCACTGTTCAAAGGAGGTGGGGGGGGGGGGGAGCTGGTAGGTATGAATAAATCCTTACCGTCTTTGGGGCTGAAGTAGACGCGGACGAGCCAACTCCAGATTCACCTTCTGTGGAGACACCGTGGTCATTCTCATCCTCCTCTTTACTCTCTGCTTCATCACTCTTTTCCTCTTCTACTTCCTCCTCGATAATCTCTTCGAGCTCCTCGCTATGGTCTGCAAAAATCAATACATAAGGCGACAAATATTCATTTTGTGACAGCTGTCCAATTCATGACAATTGCCCAATTTGTGACAGATTTCCGTGCTCACCTCGTTCGTCCTCATTTTTCGGTTTACTCTGGAGATTTTTGCCGGCGGCCGCACTCAGTGTCAACCAATCTCGACTTCCTTTCGTAACCCATGGATGTCTGAGGATATCTTCTAACGAACATCGTGAGAATGGATCGAACGCCAGACAGCATGCAATCAGGTCTTTTGCCTCTGAAATTGAACGAGTTGATGCCTCAAACTGGACGAGTTTACGCATTTAACTTCGTAGTATTTTCCTGCACTGTTTGACATCGACATCATGAGATTTGGATGATTCAAATACGCTTTAGGTTTTTTCCCGATTACCTGGCCTACGGAACGTTCAGAGTCACGTGGTACGCGCATAAAAAGTCCCATTAGGCATCCAAAGGTATTCTTCGGAAAGCGCCCATCATTTTTAATGGAGCCGTTTTTTGCACCGCGAAAGATTTATCAGATTCAGTTTGTCCTTTTCCATCAACGTTGGTCTTGGTAGTTGACTTTAGAGACGTTTGGTTTGGTTTTGCAGCCTATGAAATTTTGCGGGATTCAAAAATGCAGAAGCACGAGCGCAACAATTCTGAAACTGTGCATTTGCGTGGTCATAATTTGCTTCGACATTCAGGAAAATGGGCAAATGCGAGTCATCATTTATTGGTCAAACACGAGGGGAAGTGGAAAAAACATTGAATTACATTGAACCATTAAAATGCCGTCAAAAAGCCCTTGATTGTGCAATTACACTCGGAGGGTGATTTATACATTCTTGGTGACTTGTTGATATTCCTAGCAAATTCATTTTCTTTGCTAAACATGCGCGGATCTGCAAGCTAACTAGCGCTAACTAAACTGAAAGCAGATGTTTTTGTCTGTTAGCGCTACGTCAAGTAAAATTTAAAGGTGCTACAAATTGCAGGTGAAATATTCAGTCCGACATCAAAGTGTCCGAAAATTTTCTGGTGGCTAAATTAAGGAAATGAGTGCACGCTGGCGCTGCACCACATAGGTAAGCCGTAAAATACTGCGTATGTTGTGCAGTATGCATATCAAGCTACGAACGATGACGACTGTTGATTTCATATGGCCCAAAAGTTCGCTAAACGCATGAAATATTATTCCAAAAGATACTCCTACTACCGAATTTGCTTTGCTGATAATTCCAGAAGTTTGCGGCTAAACAGTGGGCGAGACGCGGCGTAACGTCATGAGAAAATATGTTTGCCCAAAAATCTGATTTTTACTCGTATTTGTCGAACCCCTCAAAATACCGACCCCATTACATTACCAAACGTCTCCCCTTTATCACTGTCAGATACAATTCGTCCAATTGAACGTCTCATCACAACGAAGGGCGCGTCTCAACCCACGTGGTTCATCCATTATCTACTTTTTCCCCGCGTTCAAAAAGTTCTCCCAGGTTTTCTAAAGATGAAGTTCTTATAGCGCGCCATTAAGCCCATCCATTTGCAGTAGCAATTCTTTACAAACGGGTCATTCAACAGCATTCGTGCACGGTGCAGTGCAGTGTGTTCTTGCCAGCCCTAACAACTCGTCCAGAGAGGACGAGATAGCACGTCAAGTTGATAAGCGCAGTTAGCTCTACGTAAAAGGACTAAGGCTTTAGTGGAGTGCACCAAACGCTTCATACATTACGGAATCCAGCTGATGCGTGCGACCGGTTCACGACTTTGATCATTGTTGGTCAAATGACGTCAGAGGGCGCCTAGCATTAGGGATGGCGAGGGGGGGGGGGGGGGTAGGGGAAAAGGTTGAGCGGCCACCGTAACCCTTTTTGGCGAGCAATGCTAGTTTGCTGGTTTTCGAGGCATGATCTCCGCTATCGTTATCAAAGGGACAGTAATTAACTAACTAGCTAATTCGAGTCCCTAAGAAAGTTATTTGCACTTTTGGAAGGTCAAGGACTACTGACATCGCTGCATCAGCCTTATTAAAGGGCTACCATCTATGACACGAGTACTGTAATCGTTCTTTGTCGGATAACTTATGTTACTTGGCAATATGGCCCATCCGCACTTTTACCAATTTCGCATGAATTATGGTTAGCATTGATCTTGCGAAAACACAAATTCTGAAGACTCTGTGTTCAAGGTTAGACTAAAGTAAACATAAATCATTACTGTACTGGAACTGTGTTGTCTGTTTTCGAAGAGACAAAGAAACAGCGTCAGTATGGCTTTTATTTATTACTTTTCCAGATCTCTCTTGATTTACTCTCCATAAATAAACTTTTACAGTAACCAGGACAAAGTAAGGAGAACTTTGGCTAATTGCCAAAACTATTCTACTTCATACTGAAACAGTCAAAGACTATAGTTACTATAATCGCGGGATACTGTAAGTAACAGTAACAGTAACAGTAACGTAATCAAACCTCTGGTACAGTTGCAAAGTTTGAGGTCTTGGCTATTTCCAAATATTTTCATAGCAAAATATCAGCGGGTAATTTCAGAATTCTGCTATCAGCAGATTACTGTAGGTTGCGGTAGCGGTACTGTCAAGATAGTGGGAGCAGGCCATATTTTATACAACAATAAATTAATTTTGTAATACGAACCAATTTTTTAAATCAGTATGCCTCCAAAATTCTTCAAAAAGTTTTCTACATTTTATCTTTCCCCTTTCCCTTCCTCCAATTTTTGTGGTACAAGCACGCTGGAGATGAGCTGATTATGCTGTATAGGATTACTGTGAGGGTACGGTAGCACAATTACGTGCACATGTAACCTTAATAGCTTGGTGTAATTGAAGTATGTGGATTTCCCTGAAAAGAATTGGCAAAGTACTTTAACCTACCACCGGTATTGAATTGGCATTTTTGCAAAATGTTATAACTAACTTATTGTGCTGTTCTACAGTAGATAGGATTACCGTGGGAGTACGGTAGCACTACCCTCCAAACAATGCTACTTTTTCTGAGTTCAAAAAGCAAATATTTTCGTTAACAGCCTACTTGCCAGTCAAGACTTGATTCTTGCTGCAACACGTTATACCTGCGCAATTTTGCAGAATAACATGATTTATCGTATCCATCAAATTATTCTCCAACTTCTCTAACTGAGACCTCTCACCGCTAAATCTTCAAAATCCATCAAAACGCATTTCTTTCGCGAACCGCGTGCGCACCTGGTGCAACTGAACGTTCATTAAATTTTTTGCGTTCGCTCAAATCGCCAAGGTCAAACTGCGCAGTGAAAAATGACCGTATAAGTGCATTAGCCACAGACACTCACCACTCGAGACTGATGTGTAGAATGGCAGAGGTCCAAGCAAATGCGCCGTACAAATGTCCTTCTCGTTCTTGAACGGTAGGCGACCGTTCAAGGAGTTGTAGAGAAGCACACCAAGCGACCAAACGGCTGCTTCACGTCCAAGATAGAGTGAATGCAAAAACCATTCGGGTGGGCAATATAGTCGAGTACCTGGAAGATATGAGATCGATGTATTGATTTTCAAAGGATCAGATGCATGGTGTATGCTGGCAGACAAAATTTCTTAGATTTATACATTTTATTTTATTTCATTTCGTTTTATTTTTCCTCTGCTTGCGATCAATATCTTGATTTTCAAAGAAAAAAAAACAGATTGGGGCTTGTCAGGACGCAGTAACAAGCGATCCTATACTCAATCAATATATTGATTTTCTGAGAAAAGTCAAGCAGAGTCTTGGCTTAAATGGATTCCCACCAAGATTAACGTGCTAACAACGAAAAGTTTGCGATTTTATCCCAGCATTCCCCCCCCCCCTTATGAAAAGCAAGGGTCAAGCGTTTTCAGTCACATAACAACACGTGCCCTGCGTTTGCTAAAGTATTTGGCCTCAGCACATGACTTCACGGTGTAAAATTTAGTTGATTTGATAAGAGGCTGACTATCCGTAATTCACCACCTCAAATAGTCAAAAAACATTTTTTGAACCCCCTAGGAACAAACATTTGGGTTTTAGTGCAGAAATTTTCCTACCGCCTGTTTCTCACTTCCACCCCCCTCCCCTCCCCCCCCCCCCCACCTATCAAAGCTTCCGTCTTTTAGTACCAGAATGCAGGTCAAAAGAGTCAACCCAATCATTAATTAACCTTATTTCCGACAAAGGGATCAGTATCCGAAAAATTTTTCTGTACCAGAAATCTCAAAAATTCTCGATTGTAGGCGTGGCGGTACCACCCCCAAAAACCGAACCTGATTATGATTCACAAAATCTACCCACTAATAAGTGATTAGAAAGAAGCTCCCAAGCTACTTGAATAAACTTATAACGCCTATAAATCCCAAACTCTCCCCCCCCCCCCCCTCACCCACCCCTCACCGCTTTCTACCACCTGGTATCCACAAATTTTTGCAAAAATTCCAACTGCATGACCGCTCAAACACCACTGAATAATTCTCAACTTTTTGGACCCTTACAAATTGGTTTTTTCTATTCTCTTTGAAGATCTTCTTTACAGTCATGTTGCGAAGTTCTCATTCATCATTTTCAAAAATACTTCAACCTTTGCAAAGATGTTTGCTCACCTTGGAAATCGGTATAGTTTGATTTTTTAAGTATGGTAGCGGCACCAAAGTCAATGAGCTTCGTTTCACCGGTGACTAAGTCGATGACAATGTTTTCATCCTAAAAGTTTAATTGTTTGTGGAATGGTAGAGGAAGGGTTTACAATTTTCTAGTTCATATATCATTCGAAGTTATTGAAATCTATTTTTCGAAAGCGTATTTTTTTCCAAAAAACTCTATTTGCTAAAAGTCCACGCTTCCTTTTCAAATTCGGGAAATTTTTAAGCTTACCTTGAGATCCCGATGAAGAACACGTTTTTGAGAGCATTCATGTATCGTTTGTGCCACTTGACGGAATAAAAATCTCGCCATCTGAAAAAAAAAACTCTTAAAAATGTTATTTTTGTACAAAACAAGCTTTCGACTAATTTTTTTGGTCTTGCATCTTGCGATATTCTTAGGCCCTAGTCCTCCCCCTATAAAACTCACAAAACTTATACTCCCAAAGGAAAGAAGTCTAAATTCTAGTCATATTCCGGTAAAAATATATTTTTGTTTTTTCGGTTTTTCTCGGTTTTTTGTTATCTTGCGTGTCTATTAGAACGGAAAAATTATAAAAGCGTAGGACATCCCAGAAAAATTTTTCTATACGGGAAAGGAAGCTCTCGTAAATCTTATGAATTGCTAATTTTAGACGAAAGCGCCATTAGTTATTTCCTTTTTATTCGCGTGACTGTTAAGGCTCATAAAAGGGTACGATGCCCTTGTAAATCTTCCCATATGGAAAAAATCTAACTTCCTATTTAATCACCTATGACGTTGGAGACTTCGCTTGCCCACTCATTCCCATTAAAGGCTTCATCCTTTGCAGATTTTATTGCACGCGCAACAAAAATCTCTCTCTTCTTTCCCACGTTCGACGCACAAAAATAAAAAACAGCTTTTGCATGTGCAACGCAACCCCGAATTAGATGCTATTATTTTCTTGACGAGAAAACGTCGTCACTTTATTGTGACTGTTCTAGCAGCGCTATGAAATTTCAGCCAATTTGTCGTTCGAGAACCTTCCCGAACATTCTCGAACACGAAAAGCAATTAATTTTCAAACGTGCAGTAAGCGCATTTAGCAGCGATGTTTTTGTGGTTCCACTAAGAAATTTGAAAGTCCGCAATATTTCGTGACTTTACTTTTTCGCCCAACTCCCATTCCTAACCGCAGTTATCATAATCAGTCACGACTGGTTTTTCGCCAAACAGACTTATTGATTAATCACGCGGTTTTGCGGTATTACTGCTGTAATTATTACTAGTAAGAAGTTCATCGAAGAAAGAAAATTTATCGCCTTTGAAGGGCGCATACCTCTTCATCCAGTTTTTGTTGCCCTTTAATGAAATCGAACATATCAACGCATGGATACGGTCGTTCCATAACGATCAGGTATCCCTCGGGGATACTGTACCAATCGATAAGGCGAATCACACCTGGAATGAAAGAGTTGAAAGTAGAGGAATTGATCGATATATTGATTAGCAAACAAGCTTGACGCAATTTGAATTTTAATTGTTTTCGAGGCAAAAAATTCAAATTTTTTTTTCAAAGTGTAACTTTTCTGAACCACCAAATATGGAAATGTGTTATGGTAAGATTACGGTAGGATTACGGTACATCAACATTGTGTTTGACTTCAAAGCAACAAGAAACGCGAAACTTTTTTAAAGTCTACAGATGTAGAACACTGGATACAGAGACGTATTTTACGATAAGATTACGGTACGATTACGGTAGGATACGGTACGTACATCAAATTTTCTTATGTCTCTAAAAAATCCGTCATGATATTGTTCTTTTTGGCTCTTCACCCTCGCTTATTTTTTGTTGTCCACTTACCAATAAAAACACTATCTTGTCAGTATCGGCATTTTTTTGCGTCGGCATTTTTTTGGACGCAGGGCGGCTGACAATCAAAAAATTCTTTGGTATCACGTGCTTGGCAAAAACACATTTTTTTCAGGGAATCCTATTTTCTAGAAAAAAAACCAGAAACTTTCTCTAGAAAAAAAATTCGTCTCAGAGAATAAAATGTCGATTTCAGATATTTTTCACCAACCTCTGATTTTGGAGCATTTTGCCAGCATGCAAATTTCCATCGGGACTTGTTCGTCGTTTATCTAAAAGATAACAGAATTTTATAGACAAGCCCCTTTTTGGTAAAATAAATTTACCTTGCCCCATTCTCTAACCGTCCTTCTGTCAATGAATTTCACAGCAACAGGTAATTCATCGGCTACACGTATGGCTCGATAGACGATACCGAAACCACCTCGGCCGAGTTCACCTTTGAGCTTGTAATTTTTCTTGAACTTATTGAATCCACGACCTAAAATAAAACACAATTAGACGAGGAAAGACGAGAAGGATAAGTTGTGCAGGTGGTAGGGTGGTAGGGTGGTAGGATACGGTAGGAATATGGTAGAGCTGTGGTGGGATTATGGTAAGAGTGGAGAGAAAGCGTACAAAAATACTGTTACAGTCTTTTTTAGCGAATGTGAAATGTCCGAATACTGTGATTTGATCAGGCTTGACAATAATCATTAAAGAAATAAGGGTGATTAAAAGTGCCGATAAGATTGCCTCTTATCAAAAATCAATTTTTGATATTGCCAAATTAAAGACGAAAGTGCACTAAAACTAGAAAAAGATGCATTATGGACTGAAAATCTAGTTCTAAGTGTCCTAAGCATTTGATTTGTGAGCGAAGATCGTGTAGAAGTAAGAAGTTATTGACAGATTTTGTAATTTAGTAAGACATTTGAGCAAGAATGGTTTACGTCGACATATGGATGACATTTAAATTCTTCCTTATTTGTCATGTTTTTGATAGTTAGTCTAGCATATTTGAAATGTCGCGTTCAATGCCAGAGATTGGGGATTTTAGTAGATGTGAGGGAGAGGCTACTGAAACCTTTTTTTTTTCAAAAATTCACAAAATTTGACAAGGATGTGCCCTATCAGGTCAAACACGCATAACAGACCGAACTCATTGGGACTCAAACACCGTGCCGCACTCAATAGCCATTTTTATATTGTTCTTAAAACGGGGACCTTAGATTTCATTCACTTTCTTTTGCACATTTTCTGATTTTCACAAAAAATTGAAAAATATGCACAGCTTTAACAAAAAATGGTTCATTGGTTCCAATTTTTTGCATTTTAGCAGTAACTTTTTTGGTAAGAAAAATTTACAGGAAACATCCCGAAAATTTCCGGTTTTTCGCTAGGTTCATGGCAGTAAATTTACAGCTGTTGGAGTCTGGAATTTAGTAAATGAGTTGCACTGTCTGGAAGGAAAAGCTGTAAACAAGAACAGCGCACTTAATTTGCAGTTCGGATACTGTAGATAAAAACTTCAGAGCGCAAAATTTTTGGAAAAAGGGACGTTGACTTGAGTTTTTGTAACTTACATTTTTTAAAAATGAGAGAGCCGATGTGAAAGACGAAGTATAGATGAGTTTGAAGCTGTAGAAAGGTGTGACCAAAAGAAAACAATGTTGTGTAGGGAATAGGATAAAGAACAAAAAATAAAAATGAAAATATTATCAAATAAAATTGAACTCACTAGATTCTCCATTGAGTAGCAGTTTTAAATTGAATAGTTGAAAAGATGCTAATTTCTTGACTTTTTTAGCAAATATAGGTAAAGTCATTGTTGTAGCTGACTTTAGAGTAGAATATCCGAATAGCCGAGAATATCCACAAAAGTATGTAAGTTGTCGTCAGAACACGTACACCGTCTGTAACACACACTGTCAACGATTGTGATGCGAACGATGGGCGGCGCGACGACAGACAACGACGAAGACGACGGCGGCGGCGGGTAAGGACGGGGCGGGGGAACACAGGGTGTTCACACGCGCCTGCACGGGGGGGGGGGGACAAGGGGGCGTGACTCGAGCCCCGAGGCTGTGGAATACTTGAGACAATGTTTATGTGTAGCAAAGCTTTTGACAGCAAATAGATGGCATGACGAAGTGGGCGGAGCTTCAGATAGATAAAGAAGGCGTGAACGAGTTTGACAACATAAGATAAGATAAGGGAATATATAGTGGACAAAGAGTGCAACAATGAAGAAGATGCAAAAAGTGAAAAAGAATCATATTAATTTTAGGACGAGTTGTCACTTATGAACTTCCAGCAAAGACGCATGAGCTGATGCTTGCGCTGAAAAAGTACGGAGTACAAAGAGGGTGCAAAGAAAGTGGGCGGAGCCAACTAGTAGGAGGTCCTGAAACGAGTGTGAATAACTAATGAAAACGGCATAAAATTGAAAACATTTTCCAATCACCATAAGAAATATGGGAAAATACAGAAGTGGGAGGAGCTTAGAGTTAACCGATAACGAAGCCAAAAAATTCCCATTGTCCTCTGGTCCTGAAGCGAAATTATAGCTCAATGGGAATCTGCATAAATTAGACCAATTATGTTTCAATCATACAAACTATGAGGGGGGTAAGAAGTGTAAGAAGTGGGGGGGGGGGGGGGGAGCTTAGGATTGACAAATACCAGCAGTCAAGACAACTTTCAGACGTATTATATTTTTTTGGAAATTTGCCAACTGCCAAAAAATAAGAAATAAAAGCAGTAGCATTCAAGTGAGGTCGTAGCAAACAAGATAATGAATTTATCTACAGCTTATTTATACTGAACATCTTATCACTATTCTGCGTCTCTGACTCTCTACTTCGTCGAAGAAAAAATTGGCAAACTCGTCTATAGAACGCACATCAAATTGACCGGTCAAATTTGACGCGGCGTTCTTGAAATATCAACATGCCGGCTAGAATCCAAAGCAATTTTTCAACAAAAATTTCCATTATCCTTGTCTGTTGTCGATCAATAGCTATCATATCCAGAGGAAATTCTTCTGATAATGAAAAATGCCCTACAAATTTGGCAGTGTGCCAAGCTACGTGCATTCCGATGTTACTCGTACTTGAAATGAACTATGGTGCAATGTGCGTGAAAAACTGTACGAAGCGACGTGTGACAACCTCCCTTGCGACATTAAAGGTGATAACTGGAAGATCTTGACATAGACATATAGGCGCAGAGTGATAATAGATGCGAAATTTTATTAGTTACGATATTCGACTTAGATCTTTGCTTTTGCGCATTCTAGAAAATTAAACGTCTAGTTTTTTTCTCTTTTGGGTTTCGAACGGCTGTGGAATTTGGAAGATATGAAGTGCATTTGAAGATTGATGAGCAGTTGAAAGATATAGAACAAGATTGCAAATTGTCGAATTTTCCAGCAATTTATTCGCGTAGAGGACTGTCGCCGAAAGGGGATGTCCTCGCAGATATCTGTTACAAGTGCGCGGCTCTTCATGATGCAAGAGGTGCTTACTTGTTGCAGAAGTCCGCGCGGAATCTCTCTTTCGTTGAACGACACATAGTCCTCCACCCGATTTATTCATCGAGCTCGCAGAAGAAGATATATTGCTATGAGACTTGGCTTTTGAGCAAATCAGTGCAGAAATGCAAAATTAGAGGGGGGGGGGGAGTGTTTAAAAGTCCTAACATTCATATTTATTTTCTTTACATTGTTCTTTTCCTTTTTATTTTCCTCCCTCTCTATCTTCTTTTATTCGACCAATTCTTCTTTTCTACTGACATTATGGAGATGTATTCAGTGCTGCTGTAGTGGTGAGTCATACACACACTGGCACGCACGCGTCGCATATGCACTACACGTGGCGCAACCGCACGCAAGCAGTGAGGATCAAGCGCGGCCGTATTCGGAAGATACGCCTTATAGTCGGTACATCATATAAAAATGGAAAAAGGTCGTATCAATAAATTTGAGCGGAAGGTATGCAACAGAAAATGGCATGCGACGCACACGCATCTGACTACGCAATTGCGCGCGCAAGTGAGTTAGTAACTTTTACAAAAAACAGTCTTTTTGCCTACACTGGGCAATCGCTGTAGAAAAAGTAAAAAGGGAAACACGAGGTTCAGTTGGGCTGAAGAATAACTTTGAGCTGAACAATGCAATTTCGGAGACTACAAATTGAATTTTTTCTTAGCGTAGGAATCTTCGTAGATCAAAATAAAGCCAATTTCGCTATCTTTCGATGCCCTTATCTCTCATTCTTTTTGACTTACCAGATCCATTGAATTGCGTAAAACTTGACATTTAGCTTAATGGAAGGGGTAAAGGAGCCTTACCACGTGTTGACCTATTTTTCGAAAAACCTGACAAACCACGTGGAACTAATTACGGTAAACTTCCTCAATAACAAGTTTTTCTCGGAATGCGAACTTTTAGACCGCAGAGACCACTCGTCACTGCGTCTTATGAATTTTCGTCAAATCCAGCGTGTCCGTTGTGAAACTGGATGACACGCTGCAAAAAATGCAAACGCGGACAATATGTTGATGGAAGAGCGGAGACAATGATGGAAGAGCGATTTTTGAAAAATGAAGCAGCACGAGAGATGAGATGTGGAGAGATAATCGTTTGCATTTACTGTGATACACTGGAATTGAGCGTGCAAGACAAAAAACATAAGGAAAGGTTTTGACGATCAGAAACGATGGTAGAAAAAGTGGAGTACAAGATGAAATCGTCAAAGAGGAATTTCGCAAAGACATTTCTACGAAATAATTTCCAGAATTGTCCCGAAATTGCATTCTTATGATTAGCAATGTTCAGTGGCCGTATTCATCAACGAACCCTGAGGTTAAACATACCCTCCAGGGTTAGTTTAACCCTCAGGGTTCGTTGATGAATAGGGCCACAGGATAGATTCCCAAAGATCCTAAAAAGGTATATATAACATCCGAATAAAAATATGTGATCTGCACTGAAATTGCATCCCTATGTGAATAAAGTTTATGTTCTTCGTCTTCTCACCATTATATACTAGGTAACCCCTTGATTCAACTAGACTGGCGGCCGGAAGGATCGCTCGCGTCCGCGTCGCATTCTGCGTCTCTCTCGCGGAAATGCTCTCTGATCATTCTCTAGTCTTAGTTAGGTCACGAAGCCCCGCCTCCCAGCGGCCGATCCAGTTGAATCAAAGGGTATGTAATGATGCAAGCGAAGAACCTTTGAAGGTTTTGAAAAGTAAATGTCATGTTATCAACAAAAGAAGATTACACCATTGTTTTTAACAGAATTTTTAGTTACGATTTAAAGAAAAACCACAAGCTCTGAATTTATTTCTTTTGTACTTTCTTTTGAAGTAAAAAAAACTAGAGGATTTCCGTGACAATTTTAGTAAGGAATGAAAACGTGACAATTCAATAGTCATAGAATTCGATAAATCTTCACAATTCAATTTAATACATGTTCAGATAAACATTACCATAATTATGGAGCAAAGTGGAAAATCTCAGATCATTCTGACAGCCAAAATAAGACCACATCATTCATTTTTACTAGTTTTATTTTTCGGTAACGCATGAGTGTTATACTGATGGTAATTTACCTAGAAATATATTTCAATTTGTTGTTTTGCATGAGGGATTAGGTAATTTGCTGAAGAAATGAAAGGCAGAGGATTTTAAAATAATTCAGACTTTCTGCGGTATTTTTAGAAGAGGAAACAAGCAGTGATACCTCTTTCCATATAGACTATGGTGTCATGGCAAATTTGGTCCAATCTTGGAAAGACAGGAAGAGGAGGGAGAAAAATTCGAACAATTTCTATGAATTACATGTCATATATATTATCTATCATAGCAGACTTCGACCTTGTAAATTCAAAAATACAGAATTACTTGAATTCATAGCAGAATTTTTGAGAATCAATGATCAAAAACAGCAATTTTCGAATGTAATGTTGTCAACCTATGGTCGAATACGCACGAGTCCAATACTAGCCAACTATCATAATCCAGCCAACTCGGCGTAGTGAACCTTGATATAACGATGCAAATTACCCGATCGTTCATGATTTTTTGTTTAAACCGATATACACACCTCTGTTAGTCGGGGAATGATGATGACAAAAAACATAATGTATTCTTTCTTTTACGTCAATGTCGAATGAAAAGTAGAAAAAAGACAAACGTAGTAGGATTATGCGCACGATTTCATTGTTTGTTCTATGCCGACTGAATACAAAAAGTCAAATCTCCAAAAATGAAAATACAAAAAACGTACGAGTTCTTACGCGCGCATATGACGAGAAAGGGGCGCATATAAAAAGTACAAAACACAAAATGATGTAAACATAATTGTCTGATTACTAAATTTGTCCTAACTTGTCAGGACAGTAGGAGACAACTGATCTTTGTATCTTGATTTTTCTCTAATCATGTGTGAAAGTGCATCAAGCGAGAAAATTATTGCTTAATTGTTTGCTTGCGACTCAAGGACACGTGCTTGCAGCGCAACAATCATTTTGCAAGAATCATATAACCATGATTTTTGAACAAGGTTTACCCCCCCCCCCCCCATTCCCACCGTTGTTATTTGCTTGCAAGTCAAGGACAAGTGCACGCCGTAACTTGCAGAAATCTTATAATTGTGATCATTGAGCTATTGTTTGACCTACCGTCCCCCCTCCCCCGCCCTACCGTCCCACCCCTTCTACCAGCCAAGCAAAAAAATAGTTTTCCTTTGAAGGGCATTACCACAATGGTACAGCGCCTCACTGCTTTCCATAAATCTATGAAAAAAAAATCATTGATAAAACGTTAAAAAAACTAATTTTATGCTGGAAAGCCAAGCCACGTTAAGGCTCTGAAAATTATATGTGGAGTATGTAAAAAAATATTCACTAACTTCGCCACTACATTCTCCCCCCCCCCCCCCCCCCAACCCTCTTCCCCTCCTTTTCACCCTTACCCTTCCTCTAATTGTGATCAATTCACCAAACTGGCTGGTGATATTATTTATCATCTTCGAACTCATC